CACTACTTTTTTTCTGTGCGAAAAAAACTAAGTTTTGTTTACTAGCGTTAAGCTTCATTATATTATACCTCCTAAAAGGGCATTTATAAAAAAGACGTTTGTTTCTGTACTTGTTGTATTTCAGAAGAATCAGTGGGGTTAATATACATAATATTCTTTAAACTTTGTTTTTTATTGTTCATTAAACGTGCTAGTGAAGTTCGGCCGCTTAATTGATAGTTTGAGAATTATGAGTTGGGAGTTTGTTACCGCTTAGGAAGACAAGAAATTTTGTACATTAAGTCTGTTTGATCTCTTCAGGACAAAACAATGCGTAGAATGCTCCCTTTGATTGTATTAGTTGATCAAATGAGCCAGACTCCACAATCCTACCTCTGGATATGAACAAGATTTGGTCGACTTGTGTCGTTGAGAGTAGTCTGTGGGTAACTAGTAGATATGTGTAGTCCTGTGATAGTCCTGTTAATAAATTTTGAATATACCGTTCGTTTTCTGGGTCCATTGCAGAAGTAATTTCATCTAGAAGTAGCAATTTCGGTTTACGCACGAGGGCACGCGCTATTGCAATTCTTTGTCTTTGACCCGTAGAAATATGTGTACCTCGCGGACCAGCTAATGTGTCGTAACCCTGAAGAGGAAATTATACAGTATATTCAATTAACTGGTGTGTTACAGAATTACAGTTATTCGTCTAATACTGAGCCAAATATAGTAAGGATTTCTTCACTTTTGAATTCCTGACATCGGGCATCAGAATTTCAGGTCTAATATATCCATTTTATATCAACTTAAGGGTACTTCACTTTTAGGACCATACGTTGGAATGCGATCAGTCAGTCATCAACAACGTAGAACTTCGAACGTACATGCGTCAGTTCGAGTTGCTATACCACACTAGCACAGGTGCAGTTATTGATCCAAATCCCGTAGTGGTAGATGTAGTAAAATTATAAGCAGTAGTCAGAAAGATTAGGGTTTGAAGATGTTAAGTCAAAGAGTATAATCCAGTGGAATAAATTTGGAAAGAGAAAAAAAAGAAATGAGGAATTCAGAAGATTAGAATTTGGGAGAACACAAAGAGTGGATGCACCTGCTCCATTGCAAACGATTTTGAGCCATGTCATTCAGGGTCTCTAACCATCGGTTGCTATCATCTCGTGGTCCCCAACCAGGTAGTCTACACCTACCAATATGACTCAGTCTACTTGCTAGTGACTTCATGGACTTGTGCCATGTTTTGGTCTGACCGCCCCTAGCTTTCTTCCAATCTACTCCTATACAACAAAAAATCGCACATCGAGGCAGTCGGTCGTTGGGTACACGTAGCACATGTCCCAGCCATTTCAACTGCTGAAGTTTCACTACGTCATCAATTGATTTGCCATCCTCACCTAGTACCCGTTTCCTAACAACTGCATTACTTACTCGATGGTCCCAGGATATATGAGCAATGTTTCAAAGACACCTATGATCAAATACTAGTAACCTACGAATATCCCCTACTCTTAACAGCCATGTTTCACTGCCACAAAATAGGACAGAATGCAATACAAGGCTGAAGTTGAAATTCAGCTTTACAATCGACCAGTAAACTATTGGGAGCAGTAATTGGTTTTGTAAGGTATCAAAGATTCCGTCGATATGTGGTGTTTTGCGACAATGTTATTGCTGGGACGATTAAACCTTTTGAATTATACCAGATAATAAGATAAAAGTAGATCACACACGACAAAATCAATTCACACCTTGGATAGAATCGATATTAACTTACTTGTGGTAGGGTCATAATAAATTCATGAATATTTGCACGTCGTGCAGCATCGGTTATCTCATCCATCGTTACAGGATGTGCATTGTTCCCATACGCGATGTTTTCCATAAGTGTAAGATTAAAAAGTTGTGGTTCTTGATTTACAACACAAATCTGCTCGCGAATCCACCTAGGTGAAATCGTTCTTATATTAATATCGTTGAGAAATATCCCACTATTTGTGTTACTACTATCAGCTTCGTAAAGGCGATGAATCAAACATAATATGCTAGTTTTACCAGATCCAGAAAGCCCCACAATAGCGGTATTCTGACGAGGTTGGAATGTCCATGAAAAGTCCTAGTGGGACGAAAAGTTACACAGTTTCATGTTAGAACACCGGTTTCTTTATATCAATAAAATGTGAGTCTTAAGTTCTGTTTTTTTTCTCGTCGCAAATCCATCTATTTTGAGAAGTCATATCACCACTTTCACCCGATCCAATTTCACGACGAGGTATTGTGTATCAAATGTTTGGGGGAAATATGATCAGGACACACTAGTTCTTATTGAATAAGGTAGATTTCTCTATGAAGACAGGATTGCAATAATTCGACAAGAACAGCTTGAAGAAACGCTTTTCTAACATGGTAGAGGATGACTGGTCAAGATCTTAGTGAAAAGAGTCGTCAAAAAGGTCTCCTTTTTAATGACTAACTAGGTTAAATAGGCTCGTGAAATGCAAAAATCATCGCGCAAGCTCTTAGTGACTTTCAATTAGTCACGAGGAAAAAGTAACTCTTCCGGACTGCTATGTCGAACACGAAATAGTACACAACTAGTTAATGTTTTTGGGTCAGAAAGGAACAGGAAAACGAAGTTGTGGCTCTGTAACGGTAAAGAGCCTTATTGCCGGAAATATTAACCAGAGTAGACAGGTAGTTCTTTTTGAAATTTTACAAAGGTGTTGTGGATTATTCGCCCAAGTGGGTAGTGGGGCTCGTCTTATATTTTTGCCTCTAAGGTCCTGAGGGAATCTGTCAACGGGAGAATATAAAGCTTCTAAATTGTTGTACCTAGCCTGGTGACCAACAGTACGAAACGTAACCACAAAATAACGTAGAATATTAAGACAATAATAAACATAAACAACTTAGAGTTGACTGACATGAGTATGTATGTATGCGAGCAGCAGTAATGCAGCAAAATATCAAGATAAGATGCGTTTAAATTGAATATTTTCAATTAGTTCAACCTAATACAAACGAATATCGATTGATTTTCGAGGATTATTTCACAGTGAATGCTGTGTCCAAGTCCAGTCCGCTAGAGATTTGGGTCTCCAGTAAGCTCGATGCTAATTGTTGCAATGGGCAAAAGTATTTCGTAGGTTGTTATCCTGTTCAAATGATTATTCTCTGAGATAATATCTCTTGTTTCTTTTTTGATGTGTCAGACCTCATACTTGAGTAAGCAGTAGTAATATCCGTTTGATATCTTTAGTGTAACTACATAACATCCAATGAGTAGATACGGTATCGGCCGTATATTACAGGTGAGGATTCCTTAATCCCCTTAAGAGATTTTAAAGAGTTCGGTTACTACTAATGATATAGTGAACCATAAATCATAATTTATAATTAAAATTATAATTTTATCTTATTGAAATATATCAGTTACCTTTAAAACCCAAGATGTTGGCCTAGATGTATATCTGTATGATACTTGTCTGAATTCAATAGGAAGATTGTTTATAGACTGGTCAGGACATAAACCTTCATCTACAGGAATTTTAGAATCTCTATCGAGAATTTTAAAAATTCGATTAGCTGCCAATGAAGCATGCTTCATTTCTGGTCCCACATGTGATGTTCTACCAAGTGCTTGTGCTGCAAAACTGATAGCAGCAAAAACCCTAATGTAAAAAAGAAAAAAAGTATATATAAGAACATCCACAAATATTTGAACATATGGTTTCAAGTAGATGAGTTTTTATGAATTATTTATTGTAAAGTATTTCTTGAACATATATACTATTTATTCTTTTAGGGATTTACTAATAATGCTCATATTAATGGTCGTTCGTCTTGAATTCACCAAATAATTTGAAGGTTAGAAGTGACTTAACGTATGGGATCCGGCATAAATGCGTAGCAGTTCAAGTTGTTGTATGTATTATCATCAGAAAAGCATACAAAAATAATATCGACAGTAATGGGAAAATAAACAGGGAAAATACCTCACAAAGATTGAATGGAATTACAGGATTATAAGTATAAAAATAATCCTAATACATCATCAGAAATATAGCCAATCATTCTTTCCCTCTAAAGTTTATTGATCCAAAGTGTATTACTATCGGCACATTTTTGAAAATTCTTTCAACTCCCCAGATCATAATAGTATGTTATTTTTCCACGATTGGACGAACAAGTAACAAATAGAAGCGAAATGAAAACTAAAGAAATTATATTAAAATTATATTAAAAATATTCTTTTTTCTTTTGTTTCCTAATAAAACATGAAAAGACCGAGAGAAGATATGCAATCGAGATCAAGAAAGGATTTGTGTTAGACATCCATTGAATACCAGGAGCTAATGGACAACTCTTTCGTCCTGGTATTGGGTACTTCATCAGTGCGCATACATTATCCTCAGATTTCGCCGTAAACGTTCAACTTTTAGATCAGTGAGCCGGTATTCAGTGACGTACATGCCAAACCTCAATCAATTCGCGAATTTGCTCAATAACCATCCATTATCTTTGGTGAGTAACTGTCCCATACCCGACACGGTAGAACTCTAATAATCACTTCTCACTAGAAATCCAGGAATTACTTCTTGAAATTAGTCACTAGTGAGTAAATGATTTAAGCGGAGATAACATCATTACAGTGATCATGAAATTATTTATTTATTTTAACACATAGATATTGGTCCAAGGAGGCAACAAATACATATGCGCCACACAAATCTCATTCGATATGTGTGAGGGCTGTGATACTGCCCGGGTGCCCAAACCGAAGCAGGTGGTTATGTTAGGGGGCCACTCCCCGAGCCTTCGACCTGAAGGTCTGATCCACAAGGCAGTGGAGCATCGTAAGGAGATGCAGTTCCATGGAAGCCGGTGACCAACAATTGGTTCATACGCCATTTGTTCCCGCAGGATACTGAAACCCATGTGCCCCATTGGTTTGGAATCCGGTTAAAGCGCTGGACATTCGCTTTTCGTCCTCTCATTTTCGCCACGAGAAGGCAGTGAGTAGGACTTCCACAAAAGACAAAAGTTGTGTGATCAGGATTATATCATTTTAGATGTATAATCAATAGATTAAATAAATAAAAAACTGAAGTTGTGGCGCATTCAATTACTATGCACAAAAAACCAATCCACCACAAGTAAATTCGACTTTTCTAGAAATATAATCAATTTGTACAATCGATTTATCGTAGGTTACAGTGATTGGACTAAATTTTTGTTATAAAAATATCGAATGACATAATAATCATGATACAATATATCTATAATTCTTAATACTACTGTTACTCATTTACTAATTACACGTATATTTACTGATGGCTTTGAGTCACACTATTAATGTGAAGGTTATTCGGATGTCCGAACTGGATAAAATAAAGCAGGGTTTGAACGTGTGACTGATTAAAAGTCGAATGGTTTATTCACTAAACTATTTGGTCCAAAATTTTTTAAGAGATACTTCATTATAATAGAATATGCAGATAGAGATTGTTGTTGTCATTATGGACTAGTCAGTCAAAACCAACTTAGAACCTGGGACATCAGTTTAAGTTGCCACACCATATTACCACAAGGAGATGAAATTATCAAGATACACGGCAGAGTAGTAGAAATAGTAAGTATCAGTAGTAGTAGTAGAAACGGCTAGACGTATACAATGTGATTTGAGAAATAATAAAATCGTGGAATTAAACAAATAACTATAAGCTAATTTTTAAATTCAAGGTCTAAGGAAAAACAAAGAACGAATGCAACTGGGCTATTGCAACAGATTCTACAGTATATCAGACAACGTCTCTAAAAATGCATCAGGATAATCGCGCAAATCTCAACCTGGTGGTTTGTACCTACTAACGAAGTTGAGTTCAATACTCAATAACTTCATGGACTGTTGCATATGAAAATAGGTTAAAATAAAGTTTTGCAAGCTTTCAATTGTAGTTCAGTTTTCATTATTAATTCATAGTTATTTTGTTCTGATGTTATAAGCACACAAATAAAGATAAAAAGAAGGACATTCTAGTAAGTTTCTTTTATTTTGTAAAAAAAAAACACAATAATCTTACCGCATATTCAAATGAATAGCTTCCCAATTATATTACTATGATAAAAATAGTGCTAATTTTAAACTAATAAAGTTGTTAAATATGATTTTAGATTAGTCCGATCTTAGTAATCTCTGTTGTTGTTTAGAGAGTGATTAATTAATTAAAAGACAAATCTCCAACATCATACCCTAAGTTACAATAGTCAGATTGATAATCAAGGCTAGTTCAGATATTTGTCCAGCAATGAATCACATGTTAGTTTTCTCTTCAAACAATAATTTTGGTGAAATTTTTAAAAATTCATTATTTCACAATGACGTTTGTTGTTATCCAATTGGTTGCTGTCATTTTTAGTTTTCTAATTTTACTGTGTCCTAAGGTTATTTGGTCTTACCATATAAACTGAGTAGTTTCATTCCAATTTTTGACATCTGTTCGGAATATAACGCTATCTTCAAAGTCCTATCTTCTCTAATTGATTATAATGCGTGTAGTGTTGTTATGTCTCAGTTGTTATTCTATTCAGTCCGTCATAGAAACTATTTATATTAAGATAAGTTCAATCGTCAAGTAAATTGGCAAATACTTCAGGCTGATTTCAAACAGTCTACGACTCATAAATTCCTTCAACACTAAATATTGTCTCTAAAATAAGCAATTAACTAAGCTAATCATAAATATATTAATATAAAACCATACTTGAATATTCCAGTCAAATTAATTTCTTCTAAACTCATTAAATAGGCTCCATAAGAAAATGTAGCAGCATAAGAACAAATCGGCAATGACTGGGCTAAGGCATAGATAAATGAATAAATTATAAAAGTACGATTGCCAGCACTGAATTGTAGATTGAAAAAGAGAGAAAATGAAAATGAATTAAATTTCTTTAAAAAAAATAACTCATTTCTGTAACGACATAACAATAGTGTATAGAGCTTAAACACAATTTCCATTATTAATTAAATATCAGATTGGATATCGAATTCAGGTTTTCTGAGAAGTCAGGTGAGACTAATTTATGGACGGCCTTTGAGTGACGCTAAAGTGACCTTGAGAATGTCCATCTACTAACTAGGACTAAATGAGGGTTATAAACCAGTGTGAGGAATTAGAATTATGATTTACAGTTAGTGGTTAGGGTTTTCATCACGAACTGACATCAGCTAAAATAGCAAAACGCTATTTAGCCAGATGGACGAATGAATTTCGCGCCAAAACCCAAGACCTGATATCTCAAATTTGATTAGTTCATCCACAAATCATAGTTTCGCCGTAAATCAAACATTCAATAAGATCGAATCACTTAGCGCAATGATCGTATTACCTCCTACGGATAATACAACACGTACCGGGAATCTGGTATGATCAAGCCACTTGTTAACCGACGAATAGATCTTTTCTACTCAGTATCTCACATAGAAAACTGAGGTAGTTTGGATGGCAGTACATATAACGGATATGAAGTAAGTAATTATAAAATTCTTGACTAGCCAAAATATCCTAAGTATATCCAGTTAATTTTATTGCACATCTAATAGGTGGAATTCATTAAACACATGTAATCTATCAATGAAGAAGTTAAGTGATAAGAACCGAAAATGATATTGTAGTGAAGAGACGGTTATATTCGTTCTTAATCTTCCTCTAAATTTTCAGTTGAGTGTAACTTCTATACTTTTATTTTTCTTTGATCCGATTTGTTGCTTTTCAAAATATATTTCCCATTGTTTAATTCTTCATCATAATTAATACTGTCTCCTTTCATCTGGTTCTGATTTGATTAATTTCCTCTTTTGATCTACACAAATATGAGGGGTGATAAATTGAACCGAAGTACATTCACATCAGGTCCAACACTGTGTATGACTGAATAACTAGTATATTAATACAATTAACTTCGAGAATACAAACCGTATTGAGCAACTTGAAAGCTGAAAATAGCATCAGAGTCTTAAAATGTTTTTAAATCCAACCGTTCAGCAAGTACTTGGGTATGAGCCATAATTTAAATATGCCAAAACTGAGGTATGTGGGGCGGAGATTCGAGCATAGGACTTAGTGGCTGAGAACCAAACCCTTTAACCACTAAGCCACCACTTCATCAGGTTTTAAGTAAATCACGATAAAGTTTGGTGAAAATGACAAATTGTGATAAATTTTCATCGTAAATTGAAAAAAAAATCACTACTTTAGTAAAATCACACATTAATAATTACATCATTTATACCAAAAAGCTTACGTCATTTCTAAATTTAATACAGTAGAATAATGTTTACAAAAATAATTCTCCAAACCATAAGCATATACAGTTCTTGCTGAACTAAGAGCTTCGTGAATAATACGAGCAGCCATAGTTTCATTATTAACATTAGAATTGACATGAATTTGTCGAAGCTGTGTTATGGATAACGAAGCGAAAAAAAAATTTCACAAACTTTTACTTACTGATAACATGTAGATGGAAATAATTAATTGTGTTGGAATACAATGTTCTATATTTATTTAGTTTGCTTTGTGTATAGTACTTGTGTAGTAGAATTAAAGTTCAACAACATTGGAATTAATTATCAACGATCATTGGTGAAATTCGCCGAAATGATTTATAAGGTGGGTGGAGGTAGTAGACTGGAAACCCTAGACATATCTTTTGTGCTAACTGGTACTCGTTAATCAAAGTGCACGTGTAATCTTGACAGAGCTGATGATACCTGGTGGATTCAATTCCTTGTCACCTAGCTTCACAGACAGAGACGTTATTGGGACTGCAGTCGACCTCTTATAAGACTGAGACGTAATGTGGCCACACTGTAACTTGATCGATAGAATTCGATTAGCACTAGGGAGGACTTGATATGACAAGAGTAACTACACAGTAATCAATCAAGTCTACATATTGATATCTGTTAGGTTGTTCGAGTAAATTTAGGTGGTTGAATGAGAAAATGTTACCCATGTGAAATCAAATAACTTTATGTCTAGTGCTAGAAAAACATCACAAGTTGGTTGTACTCAAAAGACTGAGAAAATGATGAGACAAATTCGACTTATAAGGATTTTCATAATGACTTACACATAAAGAAATATTAGCTCCAAGAGTGGGTTTTGATTTGGAACAAAATTTATCAACTTAGTTCAGTTTAAAGCAATTAGTCCCTTTGATAAATTTCGATAGTGTAATAAGAAGACGAAGATAATCAGAACTATGTGGTATATTAACGCGATACATTTCGAACAACCTGATAAAACATATACTTGTTAAGAACATTTATATAAAAAAAATAAAAGGTCAACTAGGCTAGAAATGGAGGGTAAGAGGAGAAAAGGATAATAAAGAAATAATGTGAAAACAATTTGAAACCTCATCACTCTGGATAGTAAGCTAATATTACCAGGGTAGGTTTATACACGAAGATATTGGTACAAGGAGGCACCAAACACATATGCGCCACACAAATCTCATTCGATATGTGTGAGGGCTGTGATACTGCCCGGGTGCCCAAACCGAAGCAGGGTAGGTTTAAGGTGAGAACAAACTGTTTTTGAATGCACAGAGGAAGTTTGAATTTTTGTAATGGCTAAGGCTTCAATAAGCCACACACACCACAAATACTTCATCTTGAGCCCCATTGGTAGTATGAGTAGCCTTCATAGAAACACTGATTCAAAGTTGAGTACATAAACCCGTATTTGGTCAGTAAGTAACACTAAATATTATTACGAATAAATAATAATGAGAATACAAACCTGTAGATAACTTGATAATATAGTGACCGGGGAGAAAACCAATACCACCAAAGTCAACTTCCAGTTATATACAAAGGCAATTGTCAATGAGAATATCACCAGTATGGCTGATTCGATTAGACGACCTAGTGAAGTACCGCAAAATGTATTCACTTTATTTGCATCCGATGTTAATATAAATGATAGAATACCAGGATTATTTTCTGGTTTGTCATGCCAAGCCATTTCCTTAAAGCAATATATATAAACAGAGAAATATTTGTAAGAAATAAGTATCGAGTCATTTAAAAAACATTTCTAAAATAATTGATATTTGAAACATTGATAGTGATTGGAAGTCAAATCATGAATGGCACATGTTAACCCTAGTATTTCATCGTTAATTTTTCATATGGGTAGGGGGAAGTTGATTTTTATTGTTATATGACCATCTGAAAACCGTCGAGTTAACTGTCCTCAAAATAAACTTAATTTGAAAACAAATCGTATGATTCATGAAAATTTCATTGAATGAAATTGAAAATCAATAATATATATATACAGTACAACAGAATTAGAAATTCTTTTCATTATACAATATTTAGATAACTATTTAAAATCAAAGAGTAACTAGACATTTATTTTCTAATAGTTTACAGTTCATTAACAATGTAAACGTAACAACACACAGATACATAACGTAACCTAGATCTTCCTTGGTATCATAATGATTGTGATAATATTTAGATTAGTCATTCATACATATATCTGGATGAATTTAATTTGTTCAATCATATAATGTCCACATTGAATTGATGAATTGTGTTTGAACTAATTATCTAAACAAATGAATTGTTCTATTGTATATATCTTTTAAACTCTCGATGAAAGCACATTACGATTGTATGTATGTTAGAAGTTAGATAAATATTTACATTTTTTTCAAATAAAACAATAACGAAATACATTTAAATATACTTCATTTATCAGTATTATCGAAAGATATACAAATAATCTATGTTGAATAGGTTTTTAGATTTCATGTATCAGACATTTAAAAAGGGATGAATAAACTTGATTGATGAATAGTGTGTTTAACTAAGATTATAATTAAAGATGGATAAAGTGATTTGGGAGTACTACAGTCATATTCTAAATTATAGTTTTATTTTAATCATCGACTGCCCCTAAATAGCCTGGTATGACTGAGAGTGGGGAGAGTCAGCTCTCCCTATAGACTCTGCCAGGGAAGTCCTACTCGCCGCCTTCTAGTGGCGGGGGTGTTGTTGAAAAAATTGAGGACGAAAAGTGAAACTCCAACGCTTTCCCCGGGTTGATGGACACGGAGGGTCCACCTAGGGGAGTTGGAAAACCCTCATTCCAAACCAATGGTGCATATGGGCTCCAGTATCCTGAGGTGACAAATGGCGTATGAACCAATTGTTGGTCACCGGCTACCATGGAACTGCATCTCATTACTTTGTTCCACTGCCTTGTACATCAGACCTTTATGTTAAAGGCTCCGGGTGTGGCCCCCTAACATAACCACCTGCTTCGGTTTGGGCACCCGGGCAGTATCGTAGCCCTCACACAAATCTGATGAGATGACAATCATTTCACGAAATACAATGCTTGCTACAATTAGAATTCAGGCATATCACATTCACTTGATAACACTCATTTTTACTGTTACTACTATTTTTTATACATTACGTTACTTATCTACCTCTATTCTCACATCATGTATCCCCATCTTTCAACTTATACAGCAGCTCGCCTATGGTGGAAAATCTGTCCTATCTAAACGTTCTCGAATCACTGCTTGGTCGAAAGTTGAATGCTTCCACTGAATACGAATACTGAAACAGTCTTTCTGAAACCACATGCACCATTCAAACTGGCTGCCTTCAACGTTCACACACTAATGCAGATCGGACAACAAATAGGGCTGGCTATGTCTTTAGAAAGTCTTAATATCGACGTCTGCTGTCTGAGACCCGTATTCAAGACTCTGGTGAAGTACTACAAATTCACTCTCCATCTGTCGCTTCAAAAGGCCTGTTTTACGTGCGTTTATCCGAGGACCCCATGGCATCTTCGTCTGGTCTTGCTAGCGTTGGTGTCGCACTAAGCGCTAGAGTTGAGGCAGCACTAATCGATTGGATCCCCATAAACAGTTGGTTATGTGCTGTTAGATTAGAGAGTTCCATCAAAGTGACAAGAAATCGGTGTGAGAAACGATGTCTTTTAGTCATCGCCTATGCTCCGACAGGGCGCAGACCGGATGCAATCAAGGATGAATTCTACCACCAGTTAACTGTTCTTCTCCAGAAAGTGCGTCCGACAGATATTGTAGTACTAGCCCGAGACTTGAATGCTCAGGTCGGGCGTCTAGGTACAGAAGAGAGTCGTTTAGGTGGCCGATGGGGACTCGTTGGTCGCGGGTCAGATAACGGGGACCATCTACTGCAAATTTGCACAGACCACAACCTGTTTCTGGCTAGCACTAACTTTCGGCACAGTCATCACCGATGTGCCACCTGGCGTCCTTCCTCTGCATCTCAAGCCTGGACTCAGATTGATCACATCGCGATCAGCTACCGCTGGCGTGGTTGTGTACAAGACTGCCGCTCCTTCTGGAGTACCTATCTGGACTCTGACCATGCCTTGGTCTGCGCCAATCTTGCCTTACTTTTCAGTGGACAACGAAGTGATCGCCATCATCGGATTGATAATAACAAGCTGGTTGCAACTTCTGTTGCAAGTAAGTATCGAACCGAGCTAGCCTCTAGGCTAGCTATCACTCCACCGAAAAGTATAGATGAGCATTGGTTGCAATTGCATGACGCCATGAAAATGGCGGGAACAGTCAGTTGTGGGTTTGCGAAACGTCCCGCTTTTAAGCACTGGGTTTCTTCTGGTTCCTTACAATTCATTGAAGCCCGTCGGTCTACTCCGGGTGACCGTGAGTTTGACCATAAACGAAGGATGTTACGTAATGAAATTGGGCAAAGCTTGCGTAAGGACCGAAAAGCCTGGTGGTCGAAGCGTGCTAATGAGCTGGAAGCAGCAGCTGCATCTGGTAACTGCCGGAAGCTCTTTCAACTCATCCGAGCCACTGGCAGCAAGAAGTCTGGTGTGAGCGCAACAATCTGTGAGGATGATGGGATGCCAATCACTAACATCCATCGACGTCTTGGACGGTGGGCAGAATTTTTCGAAGGGCAGTTCAACTGGCCTGCTGCTCCGGCAAAATCGGTCAGACTGTCCTGCCCTCCATGACCGGTGACGACTGATCCACCAAATGAGGCGGAAGTCCGCAAGGAACTCCAACTCTTGAAGCGCTAAAAATCACTTGGCCCAGATGACTTACCTCTGGCTCTTTTAAAAGATGGTAGTGACTTTCCGGATAAGGAACTGACAACGTTGTTTATAAAGGTCTGGGAGCTAGAGAGTGTACCAACATCATGGAATGAGTCGATAGTTGTCCCTATCTTTAAAAAGGGCTCACGTCGTTTCTGTAACAACTATCGAGGGATAAGCCTACTTCCGATTGCGTCCAGACTATTGGCTTCTGTCATACTTCTTAGGTTGTTCAAAACCCGAGAAAGATTGACTCGCGAGGAGAAGGCTGGTTTTCGTTCTGGTCGAGGATGTATTGATTATATCTTCAACCTTCGCCTAATGTTAGAACACCGTCATACTTTTCAAAGGCCAACAATCGTAGTGTTTCTTGACATCAGGGCTGCCTTTGATTCGTTGGACAGGACTGTTCTCTGGGATTGTCTATTGAAGAAGGGTGTGCCTGAGAAGTTTATTAACATCTTAAAGGCCCTATATACAAACACCTCAGGTAGAGTGAGGGCATACAACTACCTCTCTCCATTGTTCCATTCGAGCAGTGGGGTTAGTCAGGGTTGCCCAATCTCACCATTCCTCTTCAACTTTGCCATCGATGACATTCTGGAAACAGCTTTGATGGATGTGAATAATGGCGGTGTGGATCTGTTGCCTGTAGAAAGACTTCTCGACCTTGAGTATGCGGATGATATTGTCTTACTATGCAGTGGTGCCCAAGCCATGCAATCCGCACTTAATCAGTTGGCAATCAGTGTCCGTAGGTACGGTATGTGCTTTGCACCTACGAAGTTTATTTATTTATTTATTTGAACACATAAATATTGGTACAAGGTGTACCAAATACATATGTACATCTACAAGACTGGCAGGATTCTAATCCTGTAGTCACCCTGGGTGGTGAGCAGATAGAAGTAGTCGAGAAGTTCGTGTATCTGGGTAGCTACATCAGTGCTGATGGTGGCGTGAGTGATGAGATCAATGGACGTATAGTGAAAGCTAGAGTGGCTTATTGCCAATCTGGGCCACCATTTGGCGCCTTCGTGATGTCAGTCTGGATGTAAAAGGTCGGATCTACAGCGCACCGGTGGGAGAATTTTTGCTCTATGCCTGTGAAATCTGAACTCTCCGAGTTGAGGATGTTAGACAACTCTCAGTGTTTGATCATCGTTGTCTCCGAAGGATTGCTGGCATCCAGTGGCAACACCATGTTATTAATGCAGAGGTTCGGCATCGTGTGTTCGGGCACAGGGACGATAATCCAATTGGTGTCACCATCTTGAAACATCGACTTCGGTGGCTTGGACATGTTCTACGAATGTCATTCCAGAGAATTCCACGTCGTGCATTGTTTGCCGACCCTGGGACTGGTTGGAAAAAGCGGAGAAGTGGTTAGTTTATGATATGGAGTCGTGGTATGAAAGAAAGCTGCACAGGACTGGCTTCTGTTGGTCCTTCACGACTCCCTGGTTGCCGTGCTGGAGATGGTGCTACACAGTGGCTAGAGACGTTATCAGATATGGCTCGGAATAGAAGTCAGTGGCGATCCTTCTGTAACCTTCTTTTACTTTCTTCATAAAAAGTGGCCGTAACTTCTTTAACTGAAAGAGTTCTTTCTGGTTGTATCTTTCTATTTCCCCCATTATTGTTATTATTTCACTACCACATACACTAATTTGTGGTCGTTATTGTTCTTTTTTTCTTTTTATACGCACCTTACATTCTTTATTTCTTAACATTCTCATTATTATTGTGTGGCGCAAATGTATCTGGTGCGCCCTTATACCAATATTTATGTGTTCAAATAAATAAATAAATAATCATTGACTATTCAGTGTGAGGCATGTCTATGAATCTAAAATTTAAAAAAAGGTTCTTTTCAATGGGATATTTATAAGATTTTGCAAATAAGGATGGGAAAAGTTAATAAAAATTCCGGACTGAAATGAAATTTGCCTGAACAGTTAAATGATATAGAAATTTAGATTTTTTCATGAATTCACTATAGTTAGCAAGATCAATTTACAAACGGTTTATTTGAAATAAACATTAACTCACCTGTTTCAACATGGATGCAAATAAATTTTGACGTAAACGTTTAGTTAGTTTTTGGCTAGCAACACCGAGAAAATAACCCTTGAGAATAGAAAGAGGAATAAAATTGTAAATAGACAGTAATAAATTATAATTCGTGAATTAAAACATATTAATTAAATTTTACACTGAAAATTTCCACTAAACAACATAACTCATATCCAAAATATTTATACTGACAACAGAAGCAGAAATTGGGAAAAGACACTGGAAGTAGGATAAGATATATACATTATGGAAATCATCAAGGTGCATTACGAGGCAAGCCCTAACTCGGAATCCGGAAGGGAAAAAGAGGCAAACAAAAGAATATATTGCGCCGGGACATCAAAAGAATGAATAGCAATTGGAAACAACTGGGAAGAGGTTGGTTGGAGGACTCTGATCAGTGGCCTACGCTCCACAAGGGGTAACAGGCATAAGTAATTATGTGTATATTTTTTCTAATAATAGGTGCGGACCAACTGGTTAGAGACTGGAAGGAATGCTCAGAATCATTTGCAATAGTGCGAGTGAATTCATTCTTTGTCTTTCTTCAGAATGTGGGTCCCAAAATCTCCATTTTTATACCTGGTCTTTTCTACTAATCTGAAATTTGTTTTGGTAACTTCATCTCACTGTGCTAATTTGGTATGATAACCTGAATAGATCGATGCCAATGTGTCAGGTTCTACGTTGTGTATGTCTGACTGACACCCAAGTACGTAAACCTACACTTTGTAAATGAATTATATTTACTTAAAAATATTGTGATTCTGAAAGAAAATATTGAATACATCTATTTAACTTACCTGAAAAGTGGAACTGGCTAATCGAATCAAACCCAAAAGAGCTATTATACCTGTGACTAAATTAGCTCTAATTTGCATTTCATCAGGTTTTTGAACTAGACTAAAAATCTGTATTTTGAGGAAGATAAACAGTGATACTAAGGTTAGGATAAACATCGATTTAATAACCATTTAAACACACAAGAAAACATGCATATGGTTAGTGAAGAGTTACATGTCGTAAATCATACAGTTATTGATAATGCAGATATCTGTTTACCGGGGTTTGGTTGTACACTCTTAAAGTTTCACTGGTAACTCGACGATGCTTTTTTTCTAGTTAGTTAGATGCTTAAAAGCAATATAGATTTCATTCGAGCAATTTATTGAATTAAAGAAATAATTAAGCGTAAACTTAATCATCATGGAGATAAACAATAAAATAATGATGATTCCTTTTCTAACTGAAATAAAAATAAAATAGAAAGAGCTATTTTTGTTGATCGCTGAAAAATTCCTATCATATTAAAGGAATTATATGAACGAAGAATATTCTTTTTAATAATTCCTCACAGGTTCTACAATTATGCATCCTGATTAATAATCCATAAGATTGGTCAGGTTTAAGGCAGAGTACATCATTTAAAATTCTAACATGTGAATCGAGGATTGTTTGTTATACATAAAATAGAATAAAATCGTTAATGTTGGGGTGACTAAAATAAAGTGTTAACTTGAACAAACTTATACATTAGATGAAATTGTGAAGAGGAAAATGCTCCACACACTCAGGGAGTTGCTCTGATGCTGTCCAAAGTAGCACGAAATGCACTTGTAGGATGGGAATCTCATGGATCCAGAATCATCAAAGCATCATTCAAAAAAAGAAGGGGATCACAATGAATATTGTCCAATGTTATGCACCCACCAATGATAGCAACGACGACATTAAAGATCAATTCTACGAGCGGCTGCAATCAATCATAGAGAAGTGCCCAAGAAAGGACCTCACCATTCTAATGGGAGATCTAAATGCCAAAGTCGGAATAGACAACACCGGATATGGAGATATTATGGGACGACATGGACTGGGACAGAGAAACGAAAATGGAGAAAGATTTGCAAATCTATGTGCATTCAACAATATTTCCACACAAGCGTATACACAAGGCTACATCGATCTCACCGGACCACACTACAGAGAACCAGATAGATCATATTTGCATCAACAAAAAATTCCGAAGGACAATCGAAGATGTGAGAACCAGAAGAGGTGCTGACGTAGCTTCAGATCACCACCTAGTTGTAGCCAATTTAAAACTGAAGCTAAAAAAGAACTCGACAACTTGACAAACAGTAATACAAAGGTTCAATACAGCCTTCCTTCGAGATACTGACAAACTCAATGAATTCAAGATAGCTCTCAACAACAGGTTCCAAGCCTTACAAGATCTACTGAAAGAAGAAACTACTATGGAGGGCAACTGGAAAGATATCAAAGAAGCATTAATTTCAACGTGTCAAGAGGTTCTGGGCCTCAGGAAGCATCATCATAAGGAATGGATCTCTATGGAAACACTGGACAGGATCAAAGAAAGGAAGAACGCTGTTTAAACCATGAAGAACAAGAAGACAGCAATCAACAACAGCCGAACACGAGCAGAGAAAGTCCAAGCACAAGCTGAATACACAGAAGCGAACAAGCAAGTGAAGAGGAGCATTAGAGCCGACAAGAAGAAATACGTGGAAGAACTAGCAACGACGGCGGAAAAAGCTGCTAGAGAAGGAAATATGAAACAACTTTACGGTACAACGAAGAAACAATCAGGGAAATACAGTAAACCAGAGAGACCGGTCAAGGAAAAAGAAGGCAGGCCAATCACTGAAATTCAACAACAGCGGAACAGATGGGTAGAATACTTCGAGGAACTCCTGAATAGGTCGGCTCCAATGAATCCACCGGACATCGAAGCGGCACACACAGATCTTCCCATAGACGCCAACCCACCAACGGCGGAAGAAATCAGAATGGCCGTCAGACAAATCAAGAACGGGAAAACAGCGGGACCCGACAACATATCAGCTGAAGCACTGAAGTCAGACATCGAAGCAACCACAAGCATGCTTTATCTTCTATTCAAAAAGATTTGGGAGGAGGAACAAGTGCCGATGGACTGGAAAGAAGGGCACCTCGTCAAGATTCCAGAGAAAAGAGATCCGAGCAAATGTGAAAACTACAGATGAATTACACTACTATCAATACCAGGAAAAGTCTTTAACAGAGTGTTGCTGAACCGGATGAAAGACGCAGTAGACGCCAAACTTCGAGATCAACAAGCTGGATTCCGTAAGGATCGGTCGTGCACAGACCAAATTGCAACACTACGGATCATCGTCGAACAATCAGTTGAGTGGAACTCATCACTACACATCAACTTCATTGATTATGAAAAGGCATTCGACAGTGTAGATAGGAGGACGTTATGGAAACTTCTTCGACACTCCGGAGTTCCTGAGAAGATTTTCAATATTATCCGGAACTCATACGACGGACTACAATGCAAAGTCGTGCATGGAGGACAGCTGACAGATGCATTCCAAGTAAGGACCGGAGTCAGACAAGGCTGTCTAGTCTCTCAATTCCTCTTTCTTCTAGTGGTCGACTGAATTATGAAGACCTCGACATCTGAGGGAAAACATGGAATACAATGGACGGCTCAGAATCAATTAGATGATTTGGACTTCGCAGATGACCTAGCCCTCCTATCGCATGCACACGAACAAATGCATATAAAGACAGCCAATGTAGCAGCAGTCTCTGCATCAGCAGGCCTTAACATACACAAGGGGAAAATCAAGGTCCTCAAATACAACACGGAGAACAGCAATCCAATCACACTTGATGGCGAAACTCTGGAAGATGTAGGATCCTTCACACACCTGGGAAGCATCGTCGATGAACAAGGAGGATCCAATGCAGACGTAAAGGCGAGGATCGGCAAAGCAAGGACAGCATTCCTACAATTGGAGAACATATGGAACTCAAAACAACTTTCAACCAATCTCACAGTGAGAATCTTCAATGCGAACGTCAAGGCAGTTCTACTGTATGGAGCTGAAACTTGGAGAACTACAACAACCACAATCAAGAAGGTACGAGTATTTATAAATAGCTGTCTACGCAAGATACTCAACATCCATTGGCCGGACATCATCAGCAACAGCCTATTGTGGGAGAGAACAAACCAGCTTCCAGCTGAAGAGGAAATTAGGAAAAGACGATGGAAATGGATAGGACATACATTACGCAAATCATCAAACTGCATCACGAGGCAAGCCCTGACTTGGAATCTTGAGGGGAAACGGAAGAGAGGAAGGCCAAAGAACACATTATGTTGGGAAATAGAAGCAGATATGAAAAGAATGAATAACAACTGGAAAGAGTTGGAAAAGGTTGCCCAGGACATGTTTGGATAGAGAATGCTGGTGAGCGGCGTATGTTCCTACACGAGGAGTAACAGGAGTAAGTAAGTAATGGGGTGAGAGAGAGAATAATGTAATTGCAAATCAGAAATCACGTAATATGTACAATAATATGAATAGGGTTGGATGCTGAACATATTTCTTTTGGACGCAAAGCTCTGGGTTTTTTTATCAGAATAGCCATTGCTTCAGCCGTCTACAGGATTCTCAGTCTGACGGATTTAGGCAGAGTGCTGTTAATACGATATATTATTGTAAAAGATTGCTCCATGTTGGCTGTAAGGCCAGTTTGAACTAAATGACCTAAAATGGAGCTGTTAACAGTTTTAACTACACTTTTGCTTAAGCACACTGGGAAGAGTTTGTAGACGCATATGACTCCAATTATTATTTAATTCTGTCTAATATGGTTTATTTTACTTGAACTCATCTCGTTGTATAACAAGTTCAAATAGTGTGATATTAAAAGTATAATACAAAATTTTGTTGGACCTTTAATATTACATCGATCCAGATAAGCAGAAAAACAACGAGAGTGAGTGAACTGATGGAATGTAGATTTGGATCACTAGTCAAATCATTGGAAGAATTTATATGTTCATAAGTTCAGTACAGTAATTAGATAAACAGACAAACACGTTTAGGAAACGTATATTTATTAAAATTCATAATTGATTGTGAGAAATAAGTACAGAACTTTCAGTTTAACGACTGATTTTAATAAGACAACCACTGACAAATAAGAAGCACTCAACATGTTTTTTTTAGTATGGGACTACTCAGTGGAGCACATTCACAGACCAACAGATGATCGAACCCGAGACCCTCAGGTCGCACAACGAACGTCCAACCTTTAGACCATTGAGAAGACATCCAATGGTATACGTGTCTGACTGAAGTCAGTTAGCGATATTGCGCGACCATCTTGAATTGCCTGTGATGGATACCACACGACAAGACTACAATCCGCTGGCCGCCGTTTCTCATTAGAAACCCCGGGAATAACCTTACGAAATTTTTTAGTGTCCACATGAATTTTACTGGATTTTGGAAATTGTTGAATTTTCTACGTTTACATCAATACACAATTATCAGGACGATAAGAACAACACATATACTAGTTACATGGTTGTCTGGTTTTGTGTTTATTCAAGCAAGGATAAACTGGGGTGGTTGCTACAAATTACATAGAATTCAACAAATAAACGTTTCTATTTTGATGAAGTACAAAGTGAGTGAAATGATCAAATGAATTATAACATAACCACCAAATCAATGGTGCACATGGGCTCCAGTATCCTGCGGGAGCAAATGGCGTATGAACCAATCGTTGGTCACCGGCTACCATGGGACTGCATCTCCTTACGATGCTCCACTGCCTTGTGGGTTAGACCTTTAGGTCGAAGGCTCGGGGAGTGGCCCCCTAAGAAAACCACCTGCTTCGGTTTGGGCACCCGGGCAGTATCACAGCCCACACACAAAGTGTGGCGCATATATATTGGCGCTCTCTTGTACCAATATTCATGTGTTCAAATAAATAAATAAAGTGTAAATGCATAAACAACTGAGTATTTCAACTGTTCGCAGTTCTTTCTTTGTTTTTTTGTTATGTATATTTATTGTGAAATATGTAGCTAATTATGGACTATGACTTTCACAATGATGGATGACTTGATAAAGCTAATTCATAATCTCTTACGCATAACCTTAACATACAAACGACAAAACAAAACAAAAAATACTGATTTCCTCTTAGGCTTCAATACTAATCAGTCAGTCGTAAAGAATCTGGAACATATGTGCATCGGTCGTCACAATACATTGGTACAGAGGTGTGAAATTATGAAGAAAATTACCAGAGTAGAAAAGTAGTAACATTGTCTGTAGTAGTCGAAAAGATTATGGATAAACAGTATTATTCGAGACGAGTATTATTTAAGCGAACCTCAACCTGGCAGTCTGCATCTACCGACGCTTAGTGACTTCATGGATTAATCCCACGTAATATTTCGCCCCCCCCTCACAACCTTTTCCAATATACTCCTACACCGAAAATTATCATGCGTCTAGGAAGACGGTGGTTGGTTATACACTATATATGTTCCAACCAACGCTTTCAAAATGTTTTGCTTATTTGACAATATTTATTTTCTAAATTAACTTCCTGATGGATGTTAGTTTTTAAAAAAAGAACAAATTTTTTCAAATAAAAACTTGGGGAAGTATATAGTCAAGTGATTTTGTTAATTGAAAGCATAGATTGATTAAGAAGTGTGATTTGGTGACCGAAATCTAGTGAAAATAAGGTTAGATAAGTTTATTATTTAATAAATACCACAAAATAACAATGCACTTTAATAAAACAGAATTGATCAGGATAAGTATTGTTTAACTAAAAATTAAGGATGTAATTGTAAAAAAGTAAGGATGTTCCAGAGTAAAACTCAGAATAATTTGACTAAATAGAATGTCATATAATGTGTCCCGACTGTTGCTGCTACCTTGAAGTGGTGGTAGGGCTTGCATATCGTGCTAAACCAGTCAGGCTATACTGGCTAGAACAATTGTTCCTCAAGGTCGCACCGCGCCAGACAGGTCGGTTGAAGAACAGTAAGATCAAAAGCAGCAAACCTAAGTCGTACTGCCCCCTTAGGTGGACCCTCCGTGACCATCAACCCGATTAAAGCGCCGAGCATTCGCTTCAGAGTCGGCTAGGGTCAGCGCTTTAATTGATGATAGGGAGTGAAGTAGTTGGCCATGCCGATTACCTCACTTATTTTGGGGAGCTTCATAAGTATTGATGACCTGATTTCTGACAAAATCTTGGCACATATTCAGCTTTTGCCAACGTGTCTTTTGTGGCCAAGACGAGATATCCGTCTGCGAACGAAAAGACGAGTTTACTGTGCAGCAGTTTGAACCATTCTATTTTATGGGTGTGAAACATAGGTATTAGGAATTAAATGTTTGGCGGGATTAATGAATCTGTCTGTTTATTTATTTGTGTTTGAGCATCAGCCTGATATGATGCACTTTAACTATGTATGAAATATGGATTTCTTCTTATAGTTGACAAATTTAAAAGAGTTATTCATACGCTATCGTCGGATGATAAAACTCATCAAACTGTTAAAAGAAAATGTAGACTTACAAAATAAAATCAAGTTATTTTATTTTAAGACATCTTTCTCTATCTAGTCACTACAAGCGGCCTAAACACACTAGTAAATTGGAACAGGGCGGAATATACCCACTCTTATTCATTATTGTACTGAGTATATATGAAATGTCAGAGGCGCTAACACATCTATCACATCAATGGTCTAATTTTTATGAGTATATTTTCATCTAAAGACGAGTTTACTGTTCAATAGTTTGTTTTATTCTCTTTTATGTGTGTGAAATGTAGTCATTAAAGATAGAGGATATTTATGGGTACTCAATATTTCATCATATGTGTAGCCGTCCACTTTATTTTTGTCTTCATAAACACCAACTAGTTGTTAGACGCCTCAAGGCATTATGGATAAATATTCGACTTAGTAAATCTTGAAACAGTTATACAAATCATGGACGACTATAAGGTCGAAGGGGATTACAAATATGCAAACAACTACAGGGTAGTAACAACTAATCAGAGTCAAGATCGACAGAATATGTTGTCAGTCATTTGTGGAGAAAGTTGGAAAGCACACTTCTATTTGAATTTTATGCTGACGATGCTGACAAGAAGTGTGATTAATGCTCCACAATTAAATCATCCAGCTCAGAGGACGAAACCCTGTCATGAGCACAGTATGAGGTGATTAGATTTAAGAAAAATTTATTTGTAGTTAGCTGAAGTTATATGTTATTTCTCGTAGTACTCATCATGTCGGTGAACGTTTGTAGATATTTCTTGGAGAAAAAAGAATGACATGGAATCTAAATTGTTAAACGAACGGACTATTAATTATGATTTTCCGGTGAATAGTGGTAAGAAATCTTAAAATGCTTGGTACGCACTATTTGTTTTCAGAGTGAAAGATCTACTGGAGGGTTTAACTACCACTGTTTTAGATATCGATTGATTTAGATAGTGATGTTTTATTCAGAACATTAAATAGACTTGGAACTTGTCAACTGCTGGTAAAATTTTAATTTGGAACGACTAGTGAGTTTTACAACACTTGGTGATAACAATTAATTAAGCCGAGAATAAAAGTTTTCAATTTCGGTAGTATCAAATAATCTAAACAATGAACAAAAAATACGTAAGCAACTTGTTTAACACGTAATATAGATTTGTCACTAGAGTGAATGAGTAAAATCAGTTTGGTCGAGATAATTACAACTTTCAGCGATCTTGCGATTCAAATAGAGTTACACACTATTCCCGTACGCCTGCTCAACCAGCTATGTATGTGGAAAGATCGGTAAATGACCAGAAAGCTGTAAAGTGGCGAAGCAAATCAACAGACACACAAAGCATTAGTATATATTCCTTTATCATTTTGACCCAGACAAGGAATTATTAGCTGGGACCCTTACTAAACGCATAATCAGCTACCTCTAATATTGTGCTTTATTTATAGTCTCTCGCTTGCTGACTGGTCCTATCAGATGTCATGTTAGTATGGCACGTGATATTACTGGGCCCGGCCAGCTTAATATTAATTCGCCTTGAATGAATATTAATCTCCAGATTTAGGAACCTTTTACAAGACGTTAGCCAAAAAAGTCATTCAAACATTAATATATGCATTATATTGTATCACACAGAGAAATCATCAAAGGCAGACAATGGTTTTTAATAGATCACAATGATAAAAACAATTATAGGCTTATTTAGAGTTACGTGAACACTATACGCTTTAATAAAATATATTACCAAACATGTTACATGTTACTACGATACCACTTACAGTGTAAATTTCTGAATATAATATAGCAAATATAGGTTGTAATCCACCGGTTATAGATGCAGCTATACATCCTAACGTTACACTTCTCCATTCAGGTCTAGACAGTTTCAACAAACGAAGCATAGATGACATCTAAAAATGTATATTATTTTAATTGAATCAAAACATAGGAGTAAAAGAAAACTTTAAAAGTAAGAAATGAATAAATCAGTGCGCAATGTATGTTTATATAATAAACATGGTATGAAATGAATGAATTTCTAGTGGAGCACCTAACTGAATAACATTGCGATCTCTCGAAAATCAAAAAAATACTAACAGAAGATTTCCTAATACTTCACTAAAATGTATGAGGTATGTAAATCATAAAAATCTGTCCAATAATATACAACCACATAAAAACGTCTGTAAATAATAAATATAGAGGTACATAATGCAAAAACGAAGGAATCAGTTTTGCATGTCAATAATCTCAACTGCTGTAATCTATATTAGAGATTAAGGTGTGTGCTACTTAAATGCTTGTTAGTAATCTAGTCGAAATAAGTGAGGGAAAGTGGAGTTTCATAAGTCGAATAAAACTTCTTGGAGTAACCTTGGTAGGTAGACTGAGTTAGAAATTAATCGACAATAATAAGATTTTTGGGCTATGAGCTCAACATTCTACTGGCTGAACTACGGGTTCCAGCTGCTTGCTGAATCCTACATTGAGAAGAAATTTGAACTTCAAGCATTATTTACTTATGGAAAAGAGCCTGAGAGAGAAGGTTATAGTAAATAGTCTAGCTATCAAATAATCGGTTCATTCACGTATATATCAATGTTTCTAAACCCATTTAGTGTTTCTATTAGCTCCTTTAATATCCAGACGATAAAAAACTAAACCTGTTGGCAGTTTTACAATGATTAACGTGATGGAAATATACATCGATTCAGAATGCACATACTGAGTGCAACCGTTTTCGCCGATATTAACAACGATATATAGATTACTGTTTTGTTGAACGCTTTTCTTGTTTGGTCCATGACGCACCTTTTATAATCAAACTAGACATTGATATACACAAGTTCTGTAACAAGTATATTTCATGTCAATGAGTGCCTTGGTGAAGAGTTTAGTTGTTGAAAAATGAGACTAAATAATCATTATTTTTCAATGTATATCAAAGACAAAGGTTTATATGCAACGAGAAAAGTAGGCATGCCTGGTGGAAATCACTTGACTTTATTTAAATTTAAACTACATTGATACTGCAAATTATATAAAATTTATGCATGATGAAGTAAAAATTAATCCGGTAAACATTAAACTTATGTTGTAACGAGTGATTAGCCCTGAGCCATACTTTTACTGTATGATAATATTGATAAGACCGTGGAGTGTAGACAGTATTAATTAAAGCGAGGTTCTAACCTATAATCCAATGACTGAAACGGAATATTGTAAAATAGAGTGAAGACTATTAACAACTTAACTGGAGATTGAATATCACGGTAGTTTCTTCAGTTAGATTTAATTTATATTGCATACTACTATCAATACAATAACAAATGTTTTTAAATAACAAGGGTTGATTATTTGGGATGAATACAGTTGTTTTCAAAATACCCCATATTAACACTAACTAAGTCTATGAATCTACAGTAGTCTAACATTGATTAGGTTCATGACCAGTGAAACTCAACAATCTCTACAACTCCAAAATGTAAATCCATTAATTCCTGTTAATGAGATTATAAAATCTAAAATAAAGTGTTTGTCGAGATTCTAATGAAATAACATTACAATATTAGATAAGACAGGTTTCGTACAATGAAATATTAACTGTCATTTGAGAGTAAGAAGGAAATTCTTTTTTTTCAGGATATCGATAGTGTTTTCATAACGTTCGTATAACTAGTATGTTAATAATAGAACAATTGCTCTATATAGTACAATCTAGACAATTGAATGACAAGATCAGCTTATATACATTGAAACCATAGATCATAGCAAGGTATCTGGAATTTTACAAAGTATTAAAAAAATGCATAAATGAAAATAAAATACAGATATCAGTTTACAAAATTATACGCATTCAGTTTTTAGTTGATAGCCGAATTTTTAAACATAAAAATTGATCAGGTCTCGAAAGTTGATTTGAAAATATAACAATCATGATCAGAAAGTCAGGTATAAAATTTTCTTAAAATTTATGCACATATAGGAAACAATTTCAAATAGAAAAAGTTTTATGTGATACAAATTTAAACTTACCACAGTGATTCGTTTGTTAACTACATTCGAACTAGAGAGATTCAAAGTAACTTCATCCTGCATGGATAAGTTGAAATAGGAAAATATACCATACAAGATATATACAAGAATAAATGCTGATGATGAATAAGTTTAGCGTGATGACAAGATTATAAATAACACAATAATCGAACAGTTAGTATTTAATAGAATAGAGATTGACCACCTACACATCACGATGAGTATGAGACGAGCGTAATCATTTAGAATCTGGAAAGATGTAAGGGAACAAAATTCCAAATCTAACCTAACATTGGATGCGATAAAATAAGAAACAAAAATTAAATTTTCTTGTAATAGAACTTTATAAAGCTGTAAGAAAAGCCAATCTTAAGACCCCAAACAACTATAAATTACGTATTACAAGTATATAGTGATTGATACGAGAGGAAAAAAGAAGCTTATGAATCATACAGTCTGGTTGGTCACGAAAATAATGAGAACTTGAATTATAAAGCTAAAAAATAACAGTATTACTAACGCATTCTTATGATTGTAAGCGGTAGTTTTACAACAGTATAAAGAGTCTACAACTATAGAAGGAAGAAGGAACAGAGACTGTCTTTATTGTTGATCAAATGGACAATATATAACTTCATGTATTGATCTGGTATGTAAAAAACATCTATATAACTTATGCTTATTTGAGGGACACATGATAGTTAAAGTATACTTTACATAACCCGTTAATTAACCCTGAAAACTGAATGATTTTGCTTACAGATTATAACTTGTAGTATTTGCGAAAAACTACTAGGTAAATATACTTTTTATTGTTTATGAATAAAATTCAATACTATTTCAAATTTTTACAATTAATTATATGAAACTTCAATTGTCATAGGGATTTCTTTATATAATTTTAACCAGTATTCTGAAGAGTTATCAGTGAACAAGGGGAAAGGTGTACAATAAATATGGGGGAGGAACAATGGTAATAAAATTATATAGATATATTTTTTATTCGACTTATTTATTTAGTGTATACCCGGTTACACAATTTGACAAAAAAATTCGAATAAATAGTATGAATGATACAATGAATAAAAAAATCGTATATGAAATAGAAAATTAATCAGTTTACAATAAAATTAAATAATTCAATAGAAATATTTAAAAAACTATCATGATTTACTTTGTTAACCTGATAAACATTCATATTTTTATTGACGCAACTGTTGGTACTTCTTAGATTATTGTTTGTGTGACCGTCAAGAAGCAATTGATCATCGTTTGAGAATTTAGTATCATCAGCTTGTAAATCAGTCATATTATCATTGATTGAAGCAGAAACGTTATCAGGTGTCTATAATTTAATCAAAATTAGAGAATAATCAAATGATCTCATTTTTATTCTTAGTTTAGAACAATATTTTACCCTTTCAGTATATATAAATGCAGTCAAGAAAATATAGTTCTTACTGTCTCAAAATTTACTGAACTTTATTCGAGTAATTGGATCTCAGTCATAATACTAAGTTTTATCAACTGGATAAAAATAATCTAAATAAGATGTAGTTTTTAGACACGAAACCTTTAATTAACAAAGTTTAAAGATGGTCATAGTGAGACAAATACAGTTGTTTTTCTTATCTTCTTCAAGACTATGAGTTTTGTATTCTTCCATACTCTTTATTGTTGGATGTTGTAGTCACTTCTGAATTATATTTATTGTGTTTAATTTCAACAGTTTTTTTATATTATTTAGACGCCTTCACTACTCAACCTATCAATTTCCATTTTTAATTGTACTGATATCAAGTACGGTCATTTGAACGGAAAATGATTTTTACCTGTCAGCAACCAGTCAGATTTTCAAAACAACTTAGTACAAATGTAAGTTGGTCAAAGTCACCACATTTTAAATAAGTACAGTGAGAGGTTTGTAAATGATCATAACTAATTTAGCGGGAGATATGTTTAAACTACTACACATGTGACTAAATAGTATATTATTATTAGAATAGAGGTTTGTGGAGATTGTAGTGATTACAATAACTGAATTCTAATGGTAATAATCATGTGCTCACTAGTGACTGGCTTTAACATGGATATTCTGAAGTTCTAGTGAGAAGCCGTAACTAGTGAAGTTCAATCCGTGTCGGGTACAGACAGGTATCTAGCTGAGACAATGGATGAATGGTTGCGCAAAATCATAGATCAGCTGAAGTTAGACATTAAAACAGTTGGATCCCAACTCAGTGATCTAGAGGTCAAGACTGTAGTTCGATAATATTACGGAATATGCCTGAAATGGATACTTACATGCAAACTATATTCTATACTACCCACGAAGTGAAAACAATCTACTCAATGAACGGTACTGTAGATAAAACCTAGTATAAAATGATTGGTACAAGTAGAATTATGATAATGTGATGATTGTAAAATTTTGGCATTTAAATCTGGTATCCTAAGTTCATTAAATTTACAATAACCAATCCACCAACATTAATGAACAGCTGGGATCACTAAAAATAACAAACGGAAAATCAATTTCTTTAACTAACCAATATAAATGTGTTGTCAGAGGAAATTGAAAGCGTATACGACTAGTTCAGTTGTTTTCGAAAATAACCTATTCAACTTGATATCAAACTAAAATACGCCACGGAACCATAAGGAAAGTGTTGTAAGTAAATGTTTTGATGTAAAGGCATGATAATTAAAACGGATCATGTGATATTGCGCAACCATCTTTTAATCCTATCGGTGCGTTGATGACTCAAATCAGGCAAGGTTGAACTCTACTATTCACCTCTTGAAACTAATCGCTGTTAAGCACATGATTGTTTTTAGCACTGGGGGTTTGTGGAGATCGTTGAGTTCAAGCTTGTTGGGTGTGAGTCATTTAACCACCAATGTCATTGAAAAATGGTTACACAATGTCACGAATTGATTACAATATGAACTATTAACCACTGGATACCAGCTCAGTCCTACAAAGCGTAGGCGCTCTCTAAGAGACCTGAAGATCCGGCGTACGAGCGTCGGTGAAGTTTTGGATGGTCACAAATGAAGAGGCAAGTGCTAGAATGAGACAGCTTCTTAGTTTCCTCATTTTCGTTGGTTGCCTAATTGTGAGGACGGTCCACGGGTGAACTCAAGCAAGCTCAGAAGGAGCCGAATACATTCCATCTAATCAAATTTTGGAAGAACATTCCAGAATCTCGGCGTGTAGCTTCCCTATTAGACAAACACTAAAAACCACTGTATGAGGATTGGATGACTGTAATGATGATTTCGTCTTTACTAAAAACTATAAACACTTTGGAGTTTTGCACCATATTTGAAACTGTTTTGAATAACATTTCTTCTCATATGTCTTCCACTTTCTCATTTGCGACTTGGAGGGTTCTAGCGTTCGAGTGCTCAAGTAGTACGCGGTATATCAAGAATCTAAGCTCTAGATATGACACTAATGAAGGTCAGTTCGTGAGATAAATAATAAAATTAGACAATATCTACAAACTCTTCATGGTGGAACACATTATACTGACAAAAAGAGGAAAAAGTGGTTTCTATTAGCGCAATACACCAGTAAAACAGGAAACAATATACATTTTACAGTAAACGAAATTAAATATAATTTAGCATACCTCAAGTTTTAGCATTGCTGAATAAAATCCTGAGGTAGAGGATAATTGTGCGTGGGTACCTATCTCCCTAATACGACCATTATCTAAAACCACAATCTTATTTGCATTCCGAATAGTCGACAATCGATGAGCAATTATAATCACAGTCCGATTAATTTTTATATTTTCTAAAGCACGTTGAATCATTCTTTCTGAATGATTATCTAAAGCTGATGTAGCCTCATCGAAAATCAGAATTTTCGGTTTACGAATGAGAGCGCGAGCAATCGATATACGTTGTTTTTGACCAACCGACAATTCAGAGTTCGTACGAGATATCATTGTATTATAGCCCTAAAAAAGTGAAAATTGGACATTATTCAAATAAGAGCATTATGTTTTTTAGAAGACTAACAGGTTGTCACCTATTATACATATTTGCTCATAATATTATTAAAGCTGGTCGTAATACTATACTGAATATTATTATAGAAAAATAGCCTAGGGGTTTAAGTGTTCGAATCTCAACTACAAGGTCTCAAGCTCGAGTGCCGGTTCACCTATTTCGGTTTAGGCAGCCAGATATTATTACTGGCTATTAGACATAAAGTCGAATACACAAACCTGTACTTGTAAAATGAGTGCCATCATCTCTGAACAATGTTGAGCACAATATGTAGAGGCTGAATAGTAAAAAAACGTTTGGGAATTAATCACTAGTGATAAAATAATAATAAAACTTAAGCGAATGAATGAATACACATATGATAAGAATTCCCTATTGCAAATAGCAATATCATGGAATAGTAATCATTAGTGCTTTTTAAGGGATAAGGACATGAATGAATAGGAGATTTAAATGAAAACACTTGTTTTAGTTACAGAATATGAATGTATAAATGTAGCAATTATAATCGGGATAAACAGATGGAAATATAAGATGGACGAGTTATTAATAGTTGATATTAGGTGTTAATTTGTTTTTATATGAAGGAAAAACAAAAGTGCAAGTTGAAGATTGAAATTGTTTACAGACAGAAAGAAAGTGTAGCAATGGGTTTACCAGTTTCTCCAATTGTAGCAATTTTATTCATGTGTTCCCTTGAAGCCAGTGCAATCACATGATGTATGAATTCACCAAAAGTCTGGTTACGGTATGTAGATGACATTTTTATTATCATTAAACAGAATAGTTTAGAGGAACTGTTTGAAAAGAATGCGAGTCATTTTGACAAAGTTAAGACAACCAAATAGTCAGCCATATATAGGCAATTCGATTGTAACTCGGTTAGTAATCATATCTAGCCATTTATCATCTCAACAACAAAAAAATATTGAGTAATCAATATTATATCGATGGTTTGTAATTAACTACAGAATAAATTAATTTAACTGTGATTGATAAAACCTTATTTTTTTATAGAATACTAACTGTTTTAGTCATAAACTTTATCGGAATATTCTTACACACGTTGTTTTGAAAGCAATCTACCTTAATCGATAAGACGGTAGCGTTTGAAAAAATTGTTTGTTCAATGGCTCACTACTTATTCTTAAATTGGTAGTTTAGGTGGATGGAAAATAAGATGGAATTTATTTCAAACCAGTATTGATCAATCAGCAGATAATAGTTTGAATAATTTGGTCACATTTATACATGTCAATAAATACTCATATGAAATGAAACAAAGCATAATGAAGTCTTAGTGTATCAAGTCAAACAATTAAATTCGGGGTTAAATCACAATACAAGTCAATAAGAAAATGTGTCAATAACCCTTGGTTTTGAAACCGATTAATTGTTAAATTACATGAATATAGTGATTTTCAAATTAGGGAGCGCTGAATATGGTGGTTTCATAATAACAAATTACAGAGTGTATCATAAACGCCATTTTAAATAATATGCATTGAAATAGCCATTGGTTATTTTATTCACTGATGCAAGAAAATGGATCAAACCTATATGTAAAAGTGTGTACTTTATACAGAATTTTTTTCCATTTTATGACAATGAATGGATTTCAATAAAAAGTCATTGTTTTATATTATTATTCTAAATAGACTTTAAATTTACATACAATCGTGAAACTTTACATACTACAAGTTAGACTTCTACACCGTTGAGTACGGGGACAGTGGTCTAGGGGTTAAGCGTCAGCACGCGAGAGGGTTCGAGTCCAGGTTGAGAAATCGTGGATATGGGTTACTGAGGGGTGAGGATGAGACACTCATTCAGTGCTTTCAAGTCTTCAATGGTTGTCTAACTTAGATCAGTTCGTGATTTTAATGTAATACAAATATGTTAGGCTAAAAAAGTTTCATAATTCTACCTCTGGCAATTTTGTAATGAATTCATGAGCATAAGCCAATTTCGCTGCTTCTATAATACTGTTTTTATCATCATCATCGTTAGTTAAAGTATCATTTAGACAACCCATTCGAATGTTTTCCGATATTGTTCCTGTGAATAGAACTGGATCTTGTTGAACAATACCTATATTGGAACGAATCCAATTCACATTCAATGCACGCAAATCTGTATCATCAAAAAGTACCTTAAAATTTAAAATAAACAGATTAATTATTGATAAATGATTAAAAAATAATAACAAATTGACAGATTTTTAGGAAATAATATTTATACTGTTGAAAATAAATGTATTAACACAGTTTTTTTAGATAGTTTTTACTGGGGAACACATTCATTAGCCTTCAAGTTTTCGTAATATTATATCTCTTGTTTTGAACTGATTTGCTGTTACAATCAATCAACATTTTTGGATAAACATGCTAGTACCCTATTAATTATTTAATTACCTGAATTGTTAACTAACGAATTTTGCAGAAATTACTTACTTAAAAACATCCTACATCAGTGTTATTCTTAAGCCAAAAGATTAATACAGTTTTGACTGAGATCATGAATCGATCAATGTTAGACCACTATTGAAAACCTGGAAGCACTGGACTCCTCATCAGTACGCATCCACGATCCCATACGTGGGATTCAAACCCAGGACTTTCGGTCTCAAGCGCGAACGATTGAACTCTAGATCACTGAGTCGGAATCCAACGGTGCTAATGTCTAACTTCAACCAATTAACAGTGATAAAACTTTGATAGATTCATGATCTCAATCAAAATTCAACGATCTTCACAAACATTTACTGATAATTAATACACTTGTTCCAATTTAATCATCAACACGAAAGATTAGTGTAAAAAACCCATTTTTTATCTTAAAGCTACTGTTATGTCCACGGAAATGCTTAGCTGGCTTATGCTTTGTACCGGGACCGTGAATCCAACGACGACACGTAATGAGAAAAAAAGATTAGTGGTATGGATTTATTTGACACAGGGAATAAATCGAAAATGACATATGAATACACCACTTTTTGTATGATTTATTTACAGTCAGGTTTGTTTAATTTGCACTGAATAGTATTTAACATCAATTACTGTGTGAACATATATTTACCATATCATATAAAGAAATGACCAAGTTATATAACTGCTCTTTCTCGGGATGTGACTAAAATGTCGCAAAACACTGGAAAACATCAATTTCATATCATCCACACATCAATCAATCAGCTAGGTAAAGTTCTCATATATGGAAATTGATGACTGAAACTCGACAGCTCATGCAACTACTATTAAGTAGTGGGAAACTGACTATTTATCAAAGTTGGCTGGGCTCAGAACTAGAGAAAAGATCAGCCCAGATATATCTTAAATAGTTACATTCTAAATCAGTTTGAGTTCAATTAAATGTTCTGACTTAAGTGTCAGTCGGTGAACAATGGTATATTGGGTAAGCACAGTTGTTATAGGAATAATTTATTCGTTTGCTGCAAATTTTATTACTATTCAATAGTATGTATGAGTTTAATTTAATTGTTTTTTGGATGAACATAACTAGTTCTTACCCCTTCACTGAAAGTTAAATTGTAATTTTTCAAAATATAGTCTCGAGTAGATCCTGACTCGACAACTTTATTACGTAAACGAGGTAACATATACAGACCTAAAGAAATCCTACGAATAAATCCATGGTGTTGTGTAAGGGAAATGTTGCGAAATATCCCATTGGTACTTAATAAGTCAGAAAGATCAGAACTGGAAAGTGAAATGAGATAAATATGAATAAACGAAGATTATAACGTATTTGGGTTTTCTTATGACAGATATATCGACAAAGTTTATAGTTGCTGACAGTTATAACACTAAGAACGGTGATAGAGATCAACAAAACACTTTGTTTAGGGTGCTCCTGTGGAAGTTATGTTTAATAACTTCAAATGCTGATGTTTGCATTTTCAGGTAAACATCAACTTAGAAAGTAAACTATGATATTAAAATAATGAAATAAAACGAAGCTGTACAAAAACTTTTTATATAATACCTGACCATTATCTGGATCATAAAATCGTTCGATCAACTGTGTTATTGTAGTCTTTCCACATCCACTAGGACCAACAAAAGCAGTTGTTTCATTTGACTGTATAGTTAAACTAAAGTCATTGAATATCTTTAAAGATAGTTTTTAAGAAAAAAGAAGACATTACACAGAAAATCTATGATAAAATTTCGAATACTTAAAAAGCAAATTCACTCGTTAACAGCGCTAAAATAAAGTGTATTTGAGTAATAGCTTGGCGATTGAAGGGGATGAATTCCACCTATTCAATTCGTAGTTTGAACCTTACTTCATCTATCCACATTTTGGCGGACGTGTAGTACCGCTAGAACAAATACAAAGTGTGTAACTTTAAAAATGAGAACATGAATGTGTAAATGGTACATGAGTTACATTTGCAAGGAGCGAAAATGGAATTCATAATGATTTTTGGTCAACCAAAAGCCGGACGCCTTTGTTCTTTGCTAAACTATGGTAAATATATCTGATAACCATAACTCTCATAAATAATCATAATTATCAAGAGTAATGCTTGTAAATTAAGGCAATACCGAGGCAATAAGCAAAGTATGCACATACGCCAATAAGAGACTGATCAATTGCAGTCCTGAACATCAATCAGAAGATTCAGGTAAAACAATACCGAGTGAAGTATCAAGAGTAAGTTTTAGTGGAAATGAAAATTTTTGTTTAATAACAACAATATGCGCTCAAACTTCAACGAATAAAAACAAACTGAAAATGATCGCTTCATAAGTCAATGATGAGGCAAATGAATAGGAAAAAGTAATCAACAGTAAAAATTAGTGAATTATTTAATTATTTAAATGTTTTATGACCTTTAAACACATAAAATGCACTAGAATCACTATCAGATTACTGATCTGTTAATCTATCTTCCCAAACAAATATAATTAACTCGTAGATTATACTTTATATTGGGTTCATGAATATCATGTACATTAGAGAGCCACTGGAGCAGATTCCTGTTTCAGTGCTGAAAAATGTAGGACCAGGCACATATATGCATCGGTCCAAGTTGCCATACCTCATTAACACAACAAGTGCTCAAAACACTGTCCCAGGTCTACTGAAACCTCGTTCCAAACTACACATTGGAGTCTTCAACGGTCGGGGTATTTTACTAGGGCAACTATTTAAGAAAAAGATAAATATGAATCACATTGAAGATAGTGTCAATCCTGATTTGGTATCAGCTATAGAACCAGGAATTCCTAGATAACTTTGTTGTCCTGCTAAGTCCCGACATGCGGTCAGACTGAAAACCTTCGGGAGTTACAGCTAGAGCAGTGACGTTTAAGTAGCGTCAAAATCTAATGGTCATCATTTCTAACTTTAAGTGGTTTATGAATAGACACGATTATAAACCGATATTGTCGGTAAGTATTGAACTAACTTAAAGCTTGTTTACATTCAACAGCTTTCTAGTTTTTAATGTTTTTCCAACTAATGTCAGTGACGAAAACCATTTTCGAATTCAATACAATCACCACAAACATACAAACTAATAAGATGAACTGAATAACATAATTCAAATTAATTAATATATCTTATTAAGTGAATAGAGTTGACGCAAACAATCTTCCTTCCGTTACGTAGCATCACGTTTTAAGCAGTGTAGGTACATAAATACAATCCAAACAGTGTGGATGACTAATATCTTAAATATTTCAAATGGAAGCTGCTAGGTACTGTACATGTAACAATGAAAGTTTTTAACTATATAAAAATATCAAAAGTCCGAAAAACACCAGCTATTGGACTTTGTTTAAATGGTCAAAACATCAAGAGTTTGATGGATTATAACAATGATCTAGTTTTAAAATAATTAAACACCGAATGTCTAAACGACTTAATGAAATGGTTTACGAATAATCTGTCTTAAAAAATCTTGAGCAAATATATCAAGAATATCTAGTAAACAGAGTAGACAAGTTATATCAAGATAAACTATACAGTCAAACTGTAGGTCTACACCAAACAGACATTAATTTCGTTTGTAATGGTTTGTATTATCGTGTTGACATTTTAACTGAAATTTGACTAGTCTTAGTTGGGATATGTGCATCCTATGCTGATAACCTCAGTATAGCCATTATGACACGAGTTTACATAGAATAGATTGAATGTGGCTAACAGTGGAATCCCAAATACGCATTTCATCTTATTTGGGACACCTTAGTTGGGTGGATTCGTATCCAAAAGTTGGTTTCCACTACAGGATGCACGTACATCCAGCTGAGTGCCGAGTAGAACAAAACATGTGTCCTGGTCACATTCCACTTATTCTACATAAAATAAAGGATAGTTCATATACAAACAATAAAGAAAAAAACACTCACCACTTTTTCGCGACGTGACGGATATGAAAATGAAACTTTGTTAAATGTTATTTTACCACTAAAATCATCAAGTTGTTTATTCGAAGATGTCTTGTCAACTAAAGGTTTCTGTAAACAGTGAATATATATTGATAAAACCCAAGTTATAAACCGGAAGAAAATATTTACTATTGGTTTATTTTAAAGCATAAATTAAATAGACATAATCAGTAATTAGTTTTTGAAATATGAAACTGCCTTTCTTGACAGTAAGCTCAAAATGATGAAATAAACTAAACCGTAGTTGTTTAGGTCGATGGATTTACAGGTGATATTCATGACGCATTAATGTCAGCTGTGGTAATATTGAAAACCAGAGGCCACTGACCAGTCGGTTAGTTATAAGCAACATAGAACCTGATAGAATAGTTCATTAACTTCAGTTATCCCACTACATCACTATAGCAAGATGAAATTGTCAAGACAAATCTCAGAGTAAGATGGACAATATTGGTAGAAAATGAAAATGATAGGACAGAACAACATGAACGAATGCATGCGCAGAATAAGTGTAAATGACTACTGGACGACTGTTTCATCCTAACACGGGATTTCTCACTAATGTGTACCCACGACCCCTCCAAGAATGAAGTCGATAGTATTTAGGTATTGAGGTGGGGATTTAACCATTAGACAACTGAGTCGGCATCTAATTTTACATATTTCTGATCCCAATCAATTTGTGATAAAGGGCGACGACTGAAAATTCCGCATAATTCATGGGGTAATCATTCGATAGATCATTTAAAGAACTACCATACCTGTTAAGTTGCTAGAAATAAGAGTGTACAGCTTCAGTAGATACCCTTGATGAGAGAATTTTCTTTGTTGAACTGCTTTTGATCCTTCTAAATAATCATGTAAGGCATGTTACTGATTATTCAGTGATTGCAGGCTCAATAATAACCGATTTTATTTGGATGGTTTTTAATGTACGCGGATATTCTTTACGATGTTATAAAAGCCAAACGAAGATATCTTTAGTTTCTCAGGATCTTACAGCCAAAAAAATCTGGAATGAGATTGTTCAAAAATCAAGTAAACATTCAATTTAATTTCTTTTCAGGGAGTCTAGTTTCAACCATAGATTAGATGACGAATAGTATGTAAACAATTCGGTTGGTCCCAAGCATTGGGAGTATTCTAATAAACAATCAGTAATATCTGATTACACCACTATCTGTGAACTAATAGTGAAAGTAGAAAGTCAACTGAATAGTTTCAAACAGAGCTTAGAACGGCCTAAAATTGACATTTCTAAGCGAGAGCTGGATGTAATTATCTGTTTGTTTAAACTAAAAATAGTTTAGGAGAAGTATAAATCTATGTGATTTAATGGGTAACAAAACAAGTAATTTAGTCAATAAATAATCGGTTATACAACTTAAATATTTAATGATAGCTAACTGAAACCTGAAAATAAATCGCATTATTTTACGTCAGATCAATACATTTTAGCAATTTAGTTATTAGGGGCAATCAGTTTTAAGATAATGATGATAAGAATTAGAAAAAACTTGACAAATAATCAGGAAATTCAGGAATAATAGAGAGTTGAACAATAAGTTTAACTAAGATTTTAAAAATCTTGTCGTTTCGACTTTCATAAGTCATTAAATGATAATTGTGGTAATAGTATTTATTTATTTATTATTATGCACTTACACGTTTAATAATATCAAATATATCTCGCGCCGATGCTTTAGCCACATGAAAGTATCGAAAATTTGGTAAGGCACTGCCTAGAAACAAACTTCCAATTATGATATTAAGAAAAACCTAAAATGTAAAATTAGGGATGGTTTTAAGCGTTTATATCTTTCTTTGGAGAATACAACAGATGTAATAACAGAAAACAAATGTTGAAATGTATCGACTAATTATTTAAATAAATCATGTTAAATTAGAAATGTGTAAACTGAAGACAAATAAACCATCATAAAGAAAAGTATCTCAGTATAATATCCGAGACGGATATTTTGAAACTGCGTGTGATATAACCTTTTTAACAGGGCTATTGGGAAGCTCGTTGATAAAGTAAGTGATCGGGTTAAGAATTTTTCTCAGAGGATAGTTATTTAGGTGGCTGGTGGGGACTCGTTATTTGTAGATCGGATAATCCGAACCGTCTTCAGGGCTTCGTATAACTTCAAGCTTATTTCTTACGAGTATTAGCTTTAGGCACAGTCCTCAGCAATAAGCTACTTGTTGTCCTAGACTCGAGCTGGACATATTCTAATCAGATAGTAATGGCTCATATATGTAAAAAACTACTGTTGTTTCTGAAGCACCAATCTAAATTCTAACCATGATCCAGTATGCCCTAAACTCACCTTGGATTTGGTTGTCAACCAACTCATCGGCCTCGGAAAACTGATCTAAGTAAATTGACTACAGCTATCACGGCAACCAAACATCGGACTGACTAGTTGTCAGGTTACCGGAAAGTGCATATAAGCACTGATTTTATGTACAGGATACCATGAGAATAGTGAGTGAAGCCGCTTGCAGCTTCACAAAACATCTCATCTACTGATATAGGGTTTATTTAGGCTTCTTATAGCTTGTTTGCAGTTGTCGACCAATTTCAGAGGATTGTAAATCGATGGGTGTAAAATTTTACGAAGCTAACACGTTGGGGGCAGATGCATTGGTACATGTAAGAAGTTGTTGTATTAAATATCAAGAAGCCCGATGCCAGTGAAATTAATGGTATGCCTACAAGCGATATTCAAAGACATCACCCACAGTAAGTGAAAGAATCTGATGACCCGTCTAACTGGTCTTTCACCTCACCGACTCCATCAGACCATGTTTTACTTCTTGTTCGGTGACTAGTGATTCAATCAACGAAATGGAAGGAGCTCCAATAGATAAGCTTTTGTCAGAACTCCGGATACACTATTCACGCTCTGATCTTCCACCAAATACTGGAATACTGCCACACGCATTGAAGGCTAATAATTATTGTGTTTATTGATATCAAGTTTGCTTTCTTTAAATCAAACAGCATTGTGCTCTAGGATTATTTGTTAAGGAAGTGTGAGATCTCGTGACTATCGATAGTAAAGTACGGTGAGATTTGAGTAGCAGTCATTACGTGATCATTACACGATCGTGTAGGTGGAGATGGCTGGACGTTTAAACTCATGATCAACTTATTAAGTTGGTTTAAAAACTGTTAATTCGTCAGTTTAATGATAAGAGTTAGATTGAAACGAATACAAAACATACATTCAGAGGAGAATGTAATAAATAGGAAAAAACTAACCTAAATCCCTGACAGTGATGTTTCATGTATTTTTATACTATAGTACAGCAAATAAGCAATCTGTGATGGTTAATATAAAGAAATATGAATTAAATAAATAAATAATATATTTGTAATATCTCAATGAGTAGAAAAATTAGATTTTCTGACGTTTCGTGACTTAGTGTAAGTCACTTCTTCAGAGAATAAATAACCAAATTAAAATTAGTCCAATTTTAAATAGTACAACGGAACAATAAGAATAATATTATGTGATCAATCAAAAACAGGTCTGAACAAGTTAATGTCATATCATTTCGGTCAAGGTGATTCATAAGTGATATGTATGTAAATTTGTGTGTACTGTTTAAGGATGTAAAATTGTGTGACATTTATGGTGAGAAAGGATAGAGTTCAATTTGTAAGATGATAGTGTGAATTGTAAATAAAATCAGACTGAATGGCTAGGATAGATAATTTAAGTAGGATGTATGATAAGGCCTTCTTTTCTATTGAGAGAAGTAGGATTCAGCATTATATGGAACGCTTCAGCTACTCTCTTTTCTTTGTAATATGAATTAAATCGACAACATAATCTTTGATTATGCCGTATTTAAATAAATCATCTGAAAATTTGGTCTATTTCACAAGTACAACGAAGTCAATTAGTAATCAGCAGAAGCGTAAAGACTATTACAAAATTGTAAGACACTAAATAATTCCTGAACCAAAGTGATTTCAACTTACTAGTATCACAGATCCTGGATCATATTCACCTTGTCGAATTAACGTCACTCCATACCAAAATACTAATGCTGTAGAAGTGTATATTGACATTCCAACAAAGCCACCAGCTGAAAAAAATTATCCAAATTCTAAATTACAGTAGGATAATAAAATATGTAATAACTAGTTACAGAGTGAATATTTTAAGTTGGTTTTTAGTAAAAATGTCAACACAGTGTATAACTCATAGGATAAGGACATGAGGACAAAATTCCATTTGATAAAAAAATCATTCCTCTTTGAACAAATACTTTCATAATAGTTGAGAGCTGAGTATGAAGATATTAAACAAGAAATTATATTTGTAAGTAATCTCGGAAATTATGATGGAAACTGACTTCAACTTCTCAAGTTTCTTCTAGGATAGAATTAAAACTATCGAATAAAATTTCACATCAAATGACTCATATCCGCACTGGAAATTTCATATTCAACATTTTAACATGATTAAATAATCATTTATTACATAGTTGTTTACGAACCCAAATGCCCTGGTGGGTACAGTTCGCTCTCCCTCTCGAAATACTCTCATATGGACACACGTACATGGCCACTGCAGGTAAGTCCTACTCTCACTGTCTTTTTGTGAGAGGACTTTGTCTAGGTGATTGAGAAGACGAAAAGCGAGTGACCGGGACTTTAACCGGGTTGGCGAACACGGAGGATTCGTCTAGGAGAGCTGGAAAACCCTGACTCCAAACCAATGGTGCACATGGGCTCCAGGATCCCGAGGGGACGAATGGCGTATGAACCTAAAGTTGGTCACCGACGACCATAGGACTGCAACGCCTAAAGTTGCTCCATTCTATTGTGGATTAGACCTCTAGGTCACAGGCTAGGGGAGTGGCCCCCCAAAGAAGACCACCTGCATCGGTTTGGGCACCCGGGAAGTATTCCAACCCACACACAAACTAAATGACGACTACAACAAGAAAAACTGTTTACGCTTTAATTCTCATTCACGCATATCATACTCAAAACATCTTGTAAATACCCGCCTTTATTTAACAATATGTCACTAGTATATTCTTTTATTCCCATTTTGTATATTCTCTTATTCTTCAACTCCTACAGCAGCTCGCCTATGGTGGAAACCCTGTTCTGTCTAAATGATTTCAAGTCACTGACTGGTTGGAAGTTGAGTGCTACTACCGACTATGGATACTGAAACACTTTCTGAAGAACTGTCTGAGTCGTTTACAAATGTCTGGGGATTAGAAAGTATTCCGACATCGTAGAATGAGTTGATAGTTATCTTTAGAATGGGTTTGCGTCACCCACTCAACAACTATCGGGGGAGAAGTCTACTTCCGATCGCGTCCCAATTACTGGCTTCCATCACACTTCGCAGATTGTTCAACACTCAGGAAAGATCGACTTGCGAGGAGCAAGTTCGTTTTCGTTCAGGTCGATGATGTATTGATCATATCTTCAACCTCTGCAAAATACTAAAACGTCATATTTATTGAAGGCCAACAATCGTAGTGTTTCTGGACATCAGGGTTGCCTTCGATTCGTTGGGCAGGACTGTTCTCTGGGATTGTCTATTGAAGAAGGGTGTGCCTGAGAAGTTTATTAACATCTTAAATACCCTACATACAAATACGTCAGGCAGAGTGCGGGCATATAACCGTCTCTCTCCACTGTTCTATTCAAGCAGTGAGGTTAGACAGGGTTGTTCAATCTCATTACTCCTCTTCAACTTTGCCATTGGTGACGTTCTGGAAGCAGTACCGGTGGGTGTAGGTAATGGTGATATGAATCTGTTGCCTGAGAGACTTTTCGACCTTGGGTGTGAGGATGATATTGTCTTACTGTGCAACGGCGCTCAAGCCATGCAATTCGCACTTAATCACCTGGCAGTTAGTGTTCGTAGGTACGGTATGTGTTTTGCGCCTTCCAAAACTGCAAAGTACTTCCACAAGACTGGTAGGACCCTGAACCTGCCTTGAACCTGGGTAGTGAGGAGATGGTGGTCGAGAAGCTCGCGTATATGGGTAGCTGCGTAAATGCTGGCGATAGTGTAAGTGATGAAAGCTAGAGCGGCTTATGCCAATTTGGGTCATCTTTGGCGCCTGAGTGATGCTAGTCTGGCTGTAAAGGGTCGGATCTATAACACGTTGGTGAGAGCAGTTTTGCTCGATGTCTTTGAAACCCGGCCACTCCGAATTGAAGATTTTAAACGACTCCTTGTGTTTGATCATCGCTGTTTCCGAAGGATTGCTGATATTTAGTGTAGGCACTGCGTCAGTAACTCAAGGAGACTGACTTGGCAATATCTGTTCGGGCACAGTGACGATCAGTCAGTTACCATCTTAAAACACCGACTTCGGTGGCTTATACACGTAATACGAATGTCGTTCTAGTGAATTCTATATCGTGCATTATTTGCCGGCGCTGGGACTGGTTGTGAAGATGAAGAGGTGGTCAGTGTATGACACATTGTCGTGGTATGGAAGAAATTGGTACAGGACTGGCATCTATCGATGCTTTAAGACTTCCTGGTTGGGGTCCTAGAGATACTGAAACACAGTGGCTTGGAGCGTTATCAGAAATGTCTCAGAGCAGAAGACAATGGGGATAATGGTGTACCCTTCTTTTACCCCACCTAAATGAAACGAACTTTTTAAACTGTGAAAATCCTTTCTGGTTATATTTTTCTCAACTGAATTGCTTCTTCTATTATTATTACAAGTGTTATTTTTATTATTATCCCATCAGGCTCTGAACACAGTAAAGAGCGGAAACAAATCAGATCTAGGTTAACCAAAAGTCTAAGGAACGACCGTGAGCAGTGGTGGGCAATGAAAGCAAAAGAGATGGAAAAGGCGACGGCTGTAGGTAATATAAGACAGACGTTTAGAACGATGAGCGGAACACTTCAAGGAGCAGTTCAGCTGGTCCAGACAGCGTGAATGGAACATTGAATTGGGTAGCTGAAGTTCAAAAGGCTATAGCTAATCTGGAATGAGGAAGAGCAGTTGGTTCAGATGGATTAGCTACAGAGTTCTTTAAGTATGGTGGTCCAATTTTAGCGATTAGGTTGACTAATATTTTAGCTAAAATCTGAGGGTTGGATGTAATCCCATCTAACTGGTCAGTCACAATCACTGATTGTCCAAATATATAAGAAAGGATCAAAATCATCCTGTAATAACCATAGAGGGATTAGGTTGACTAATGTAGCATCTAAAATACTAGCCTCAATAAATATCGAACGCCTAATAAAGACTCGTGAACTGCACACACGAGAAAATCAGGCCGGCTTCAGACCTGATCGTGGCTGCATCGACCATATATTCACCATTCATCAGACTAAAACACAGGCAGGCTTATCGGAGTTCGACAATGATGGTTTTTCTTGACTTAAAAGCAGTATTTGACTCTGTAGGCCGAGGGGTTCCGGGGCACTGTCTGTTATTGAAAGGTGTACCTCACATGCACATAAACCTTGTGAAGGCTCTTTACACGAACACTAGTCGAGTGAGAGCTCATGGCGAACTGTCATCTGTTTATGCAACCTCAAATGGTGTCTGTCAGGGCTGTCCTTTTTCTTCATTTTTTTAGCTTCATCAAGGACGAGTATACTGCACGGCAGTCCGTTCTGTTTTAATTTACGGCAGTGAAACATGGCCATTAAGATTTGAAGGTATTCGTAAGCTACTAGTATTTGACCACAGATACCTTAGAAATATTGCTCGCATCTGCTGGGATCACCGGGTAAGTAATAGTGAGGTTAGACGCAGGATATTTGGGAATGATGGTAAATCAGTTGATGAGGTTGTGAATCTTCATCGACTGAAATGGTTGGACCACGTGTTACGCATACCTGAACACCGGTTATCACGACTCGCAATGCTGACTAGTGTTGGGGATGGTTGGAAGAAAGTTAGGTGTGGCCAACTCAAAACGCGGCATCAGTCATCGAAGTCACTACTTTCTAGTCTGAGCCATGTTGGTAGAATCAGACTACTTGGTTGGGGTCCGCGTGACTATCGTAACCAATGGTTGGAGACTCTTGGTGACATGGCTCAGAATCGATGACAATGGTGTGGGTGTATACACTCATTGTCTTCCCTTAAACTAAGAGATTAAAATCACTTCATATCTTTCTTTCTACGAACTAGTTCTTTCTTCCTGTACTATATCCTTATATGCAATCTTTCTTTTATATATTACCACCATTGAATTAGCTACTTTTATGAATTCGGTGTCCATCTTGTTGTGTTAATGAGGTATGGCAACTTGGACCGATGAATATATGTGTCTGGTCCTACGTTGTAGCTAACTGACTGACTGTCATTATTATTATTTCACTCTCATACACTAATCTCTGTTGATTGTTGTTCCTTTTTATGATATGAATTTTACATTCTCTATCTCTTCACAACCTCGTTTTTATTTGATGGGGCACATATATTTTGGTTCCATCTTCTACCAAGGTTTGTGTTCAAATAAAATTACAAAAGAAATTCTAAAAGGAATTTAGCAGAGTAGAGATTCAATATTGGATGGGGCTTGGTAGTTGAAATACGAGTGTTATATCACTAAACTACGCCTCCAAGACTAAATATAAAATAACAAAAATGAGGTATCTTTATTGAAATGCGTATTTTGGGGGTTGGTAACTACTACAATATCAAATGGTTAAATTCCCTGGTCACAAATGTTGAGTGTAAATTAGGAAACCCAACTAAAAACCATTTACTAATGAGCACGCGATTATTGTTTGATTAGTTTGTTAGAGGAGATTAATTCATTTTTATGAGTCTTTGTTGCAGGTTGACAACTATTCAGAAATCTTCGGTTTTCAGAAGTGGTCCAGTAAATGGAGGTCCTATATGAAAGCAACTATCAAAGTGAAATAACATCTACCATACAAACAACCAATTAATATTAGTATGAGTGACAAATCGTAAGCCCTGATAAGTGAATTTACGAGCTTAGAACATTGAACTGTATAATGTGGTGGCCAAAGTGAATTCCTATTATTAATACCATTAATCGTTAGAAAGTATTTACTTACTTGGTTAAGATTCAGATTACTTCCTCTAAACCACGTTTCTCATAATCACTCACTTATAGCCAAGAGACACATCATGAAATACTGAACTATCCTCCGGCGAGAAGCATTAGACTATATGAGTGAATAATTGTTTCTACATAAAATTGATGCAGAGGAAACATATGACCATCACTTTGATTTTCCAATAATTTACCACTTATGCTGAGAAAATCCCCACATTAACAGTTTAATTAATGCTTTAAGAAAGGCTGTAACGAAACAAACGAAGCCAAGGCTGTGGAACCATATGTATTTAAAGTTCAACTATGACAAACAAAATTACATCTGATTCTCTGAATCCATATATTCAGACATAGGTATGAGTTACTTCAAAATATCTATACCGATAACCACTTTATCTTATGTAACGAGACAGATTGTAAAATCAAATGTATTATAAAGAAATATGGTAAAAACCGGTCTTACCAAATCCAAGCCAACCTGCCTGTTTTACACCACAAGCGGCAGCCTTATCCAGATTACTGCTATAACGTAATACTTCTTTTCTCTCCCCAGAAAAAGTAATTACTGTCCGGATAGCGCTCAAAACTTCCTCAGTAATTGTACTAGACTTGGAGTATGCATCCTGCTCCATGAGAGTGAAGCGTCTCACAGTAGTACCGAATAAAGAGAAACCAATAAGGACTAATGGCAATGATGAGCAAGCAACCAAACTAAGCTTCCAACCATACGCGAATGCGATAAGGAAGCCGATAAAGAAACTAGAAATATTCTGAATAAATTCACTTAATTTCTCCCCAATGCCAAGATGTATATTAGTTGTGTGTTCAGTTAATTTATCTATGAGGCTTCCGACGGCATGTTCATCCAACCAAGCTACGTCTTGACTCAATACTGCCTAAAAATAAACATTTGATTAAATTTAATACAAATAGAAACCACCTATTTTTGAAAACAAAAAAACAGGAACAAATCGACATGGTACGACCATTGTAAATGGTTACATTATCAGATATGACAATCGTACAAATCAATTGAATACCTGCCATATGAAAACCCTTGACTAGCGATGAGTAAAGCAATAATTGACAGCCTATATAGTACCACAGTTAGGATTATCTCCGGTTGTTGCTGAGAAAACTTAAGTTCTGAAAGTATACAGAGAAGGAAGGATTTTATCTCGATATTTCCTCCACCAACGCCAATTCCATAAATGTGGACAAATAAACTAAAAATAGTCATGGAAACTACATACTGTACTGCTCTCCCAAATGCCAGAGGAAAAACTCGGCTAGATAATAAAACCATTATAAGGAGACAATCTATAGAAGATTTCTGTTGATGATGAATTCCTTAAGATTACAGAAAATTCCGGAACGCTACTAAACAAAGTAGCAGTATAGGTAATCATCCGATCAGAAATCCGACATATCACTTTCCACTTTCTCGATGTTTCTGGCAAAACGTCTATTGAATGCTGACTGAAGAAAGTGCTTCTCAGAGCCTTTTTCCGAGGAGTTTTCTGGATCTCCCCAACATCTTTAAAATATGTGAGTCGCAGTTTCAGTTACAGAACACCGTATCAACGCAGAAAAAGATTATGTAGGAGCAAGACCTGAACATTGTAGATTTAACTAAGAAACGAAATAAGCTTAATGATTGGTTCACAGTGGCCCCTAGAAAACCAAGCAAAAAAGTAAACACCGCACATATGTTGTCAAATCGGACTGTATAAATGAGGAGAGTTTGGGAAACAAAACATCAAAGTTCGCCAAAGCAGATCTCACAGAATGGTCAGTATTTTTTTCTACGTTAAGGGCATCTTCCAAAACAGAACCAAAGGCTAGGTTTGACACACGACCTAAGATATATTAAGTCCTTAGTAAACATCTTACTCCCGGAAACAGTAGCAGGAGTTAGTATTCATAAGCTTTACAGAAGACAACAAAAACGGACTGTAAAAGTACGCAGGCAAGCCGCCTTTTAGAAGTGTATTTCGTTTCCGCTGAGGAAAGAAACCTAACACTGGGAAATTCAAGTAAACCGGCTGGTTGATCGCATTGAGACGGTCGGCAGAAGCAGAAGCACTGTCGGAACGGTGAAAAATGCTTAGAGTTAAGGGTCTTTACATTGCAAAAGTATGGAGCAAAATCATCCCCAAACTATTTGGGTGGTAAGGGAAAACATTTCACAGAATTAAAGGTACGGTATACAAATGCCTGAAGCCTACCAAACAAAGTGGCGGATCTCAAAACGTGGTGAGAACAGAAAATCTTGATGTCATTATCGTCTCAGAAACATGGTTAGCGTCAGAAGTGTATGATAGTGAAATTCAATTGCTTGGTTTCGCATTTGGTAGGGTCGACAGGCTAAACGGTAGAAGGAGGTAGGGTTATTCTGTATATGAGACGCACCTTAACCATACGAGCTATCGAAACAGTGACACACGACTCACGGACATGTGAACTGACGCGCTGCTGGCTGAAATGCAAAGGGCAGGAAATTAAATTATTTGTAGTATACCGCAGTCCAGAATAGGTATTGTATAACACCTTCCTAAATAAAATTAAATCCTAGTCAAACAGGTGTAAAAGCCTCATAGTAGGTGATTTTAATGGACTTTCCGTAGATTGAGAAAACTTAAATACAAGGTCATCAAAAGAATAATCTGATTACAAATTGTTAGAAACCACAATCACCCTAACTTTATTCCAGAACATTAGAGATTTCACCAGATATGACATACGAAGTTCCTTATCTGTCTTGGACTTAGTCTTCGCGCACGGTGACGATATCAGTCAAAAATAAAGTTCCTTTCATCTATGAGGGGTGATCATGCTGTCATTTTATTCACGTTCATGGTTGATGTAGTCTTCCAAGCAGATGTAACGGCTCGTCCTAACATATCGAGGCGATCAATTCTGCAGCCTCTACTGAAAACTAGAAAATTGACTCCCATGTATCAGTAAGAGGGACATGAACTCGTTTCCGGCAGTTATATAATCGGGTAACTCAACCATATACACCCTGCACAGTCCTAAAGGAGAAATAACATAGTCATCTCTGGATAAAACGGAAGATAAGACGTTTACTAAGGCAAAAGAAAAAAGTGTTGGAACGTCGCCGTCAAGCTTGGCATAACAAATACAATGGAACGCTACAGGTCAGTCCGAAACAAGTGTATAAGCACAATCCGAGCAGCTCAGAGAAAATATGAAGAGCAGTTCTCAAGATCTATAATTAGGCAGCCGAAGAGACTTTCCTCGCACAGTAATCTGAATTTGAAATTTAAATAAATTTTGGAATACCTAGATTACTATACACAAAAATAGTTGACTTTTAAATTGATAGATAGCTTGGTAAACTAAAGGAAGAAACACTCAAAATTCCTAAATTGAGGGATTAGAAAGCAACCTGCAATGTAGAATATGAATGAGAGGGAACAGGAAACGCAATTAGATTTAATATGAAGATCATACTTGGATTAGAAGTTGCCTGGTACGCTTTACAACACGTGAAGCATATATATTTGTGAACCATACTTGACCAAAGGATATCAGGAAGGCAGCAGCCGCTATGACAGCAAGCAAAACAGATGCGCGGTATATTTCTACGTATGAAACACCAACAGTGCTTATTATGTCATTGACAATCCAGCGGAAGACTAGTATGGATACAGGAAAAGCAGCTCCGAAAACAACGGAAAGTAACAACCCGAGGAAAAGAAGAAAATTCTCGCTGGAAGTGGCGAATCCAAACTTTAGATGCTCATGGTTACTGATACATGACTTACCAAATCCTTATATCTAATGCTAGAGCAAGAATGCAACCTGAAAACATTTGTCATGCCTACAACAATTACCCTGTTTTCTGATCTTTTTGAAGAAGATCCAAGTGGCAATCATCGCACTCTGTATTCGGACTAGCAAACTCTTTATGGCCTTTGTGTGCCATGACGACGGCGGATCCTCAACCAACAGACAGCAAACCGAATATCGCCGACCAACAAGCGACCTTGACGACTCGCCGAAGTAACCTTCGAATACTGTAAATAAACGTTTTTACTGCACGTGTAACGTAGGAATTGGTTCAGGGTCCTTGTCTAGCGTCAAGGTACTTTTGATGCCGTTTAAGCATAAAAAACAACGTTAGAGAGGTTAGCTAAAAAGAGAGATGCGCAGAAGAAAAAGAGAGTTAACGACTAATAGTAACACAAATTTATGTTTTGTAGCCACAATCATACATCACTCCTTTTCCTTGTTACATGATTTTGTATACGCTATGACATACAAACTCAATCAGCAATGTTAATTCGAACTGATTGAGAATGTACTTCTCTTCGCAACCATAATAATGATAATGGTTCTTTTGTACTTCATGGCCTCTGAGTTCGACTTCTGAATATAATACGTCCGGTTGTGTCCATTTGGCTCTGGTTGGTTCATTTTTGCACTACTTCGGGAATTACTAGCTAGAACAATGACTCAAATACTTCTAGTCATAATGGATTTGTTGACTAACATCGTTAACAACCGTGAAAAAATATATACTTTGAACGGATAAACAAACGAAGACTCGTAATGGAATAAAGAAATGTGTCTTTGACAACATTAGTATTGACGGAACAATCTCCAACAACAATGAGGATATGCTGAAACTCAGCACGCACTTTGGACAAGACAACTTTAATAAAGCTCGGTTCTTCAACATCATTAAAGAGACTGAATTGTTCGGAACGTAAAGTTAGCAACTCAGTGAAGAAACAGTCAGATGCTGTTAAGCTTAGACTGCATATTTACAAGCGAAGAATTTCTAATTGACGAGCTTCTATTCCTGGCTCCCCTGGGAATAAGCGATCCCACAGCCATAGCCTTCCATTATTTTTAGCAAGACTGAGTTACAGTATCACACTGACAACAGGCATTGTAATTTCAAACGTTTTGATGTATCAGATTTACAGTGGAGTATACGGCAGGTGAACTGTGAAGTCCGCTCACAAGTCTTGGAGTTCCTCCGGGATTTTTAACTGCATACGACTTTCATGTTATGAAGAAGTCTTCACGACAAAATGTCCCTATAAACTACGAGAATCACACTTTTCGAATGCTAAAACCCTAAAGGTGCTACTGTGCTGAATACGAACGACTCAGCAAAGACTGCACACACAGGCAGTTCAAGAAAGTAAGAAATCAGTGCGTGGAAGCGACAGAAGATAGCCCTCAGCACCAGGTCAAGCTAGTCAATACGTTTCTTCTCCTTCAAAAAGCTCAGTTCGTTATGGAGCCCTTCTTCAACGAGCCGAAACCGTGGTTTCCAGGTTGTTGGGTCCTAATGGCCCCGCCAACAACGACAGATATTCTATGGAGCCCTTGGCGAGAACAATAATTTCAAGCACTTAAACCATCACATACAAATTGCTTCGACTAGAGCTTCACTCGCCAGTCAACAGGAGCCTCAACAGTGGACCGGAGCACCGGACTGGTGTACCAGAGACTCTAGCATACAGACAAGTGCATTTTTAATGGCCTAGATATAGTTCACTCTGCTACACTTAGAGGAGCTGCTTCAGTCTTGGCGACACGGATTAGTGTGAGTTTTCAAAACTTCTAAGCCTAGTTCGAATCTGGAACAATTCGAAGCTGGCGAATAATACGCGCGTACAAACAATACGTCATTGTTGACGTTCCTAGCAAGAAACAACTTATGATAGCAGCAAAGCAATGGATTGTTGGGAAAGAACTTTGCCTTTTTCCAACGGAGCCGGTCGATATCCAACTGCAAAACTGAGACCGATCAGATGACAATTGATCAGTTGTGAAATGTAAAGTCACTCACGAATTCGGTGAGTAACAATCATAGAAATTATAATTTACCACAGATTCTCTGCAGTCTGCAAAGGATATGCTATTGTCCCTCTATATACTGGAGCTTTACCGTAAAAACACTTCAACGGAAGATAACACCTTGCCACTGAACACTGAGAAGCCCAAGAGGTCAGTACAATATTCTTACTAACATTTCCTAGAGGTGCATTGAAGCGTAAAGAAGGATTTCTTTACAATTCAGTAAACACCAATGTTCTTGAGATGCAGGCTGGTATTAGCCACGTACAATATCGGACACATTCTGTTTTTCGACAGAGTCGCCTCGTCAATTGCTAAGTACGTTTCATTACTATTTAGATGTTAATCAATTAGTTCGACAAAATTAGATACATCACCTTCAACATTAAAAGTTAAGCACGTAGGCTGTGCTCCAGCGGCCCAGTTAGTCACCTGTACGATCAAGTGAAGTTTTTCAGATTTTATAGGTTGTATACAATCATGTAGAACATGTATTCAGTTATTGCTGACTTGAATACAATGTGGTCCAACATGTCGTCAGCTACTACTGACTTGAGTACAAATGTAAAGCTGCTTCTAGCGAAGTTCTGTGAACGCGAACATCCGTATTAATTCGATTGCGAACTATCAAGTCAGCAGTTCCCTTTGTCATCTGAAGAGGAACTAGAGATGCTGGACACTGGCTTGCAGCAGAAAGAAACCAGGGACAGATTTGTAAGTTAGAAGATTAATTTTATAAATTGTTCGTATTGCAGGTGGCCATGGCAACGAGTTTAATGGATAATGATCCGAAAAGCTCAATGCGATATGTTTTGTCCTACCCCATGATACCTGAGGTTGGCTGCAATTAAACGCAACTCAATTTCGTAAATGTGCCCTTCAGCTTAGCAACCAATCAGAATGAGGCGGGAATTATTACATCCGCCATCTTCGTAAGCAATGGCGGTCGGCTTTCTTCGTTCTGTGCTTCTTTCAGCTATTTCTTTTGTGTAGCTACGGAATTTGATGTTTCAGTGTGCTAAAATTCAAAAGTTAGTGTAATACTCTGAACGTTGGAGCAAAGTGTTTCCTGATTTTGCTTTGTTTTCTGGGTTTTATCTGCTGCTAATGAAGTCACTGTATTTATTCAGCTAAGCTGGCTAGTACTAACATAAGACCTTACGTTTTCAAACGACAATCGGTTATGTTTTATCTTGTTTTCTAGATATCCGAAGTCGAAGTTCGTTTTTAGCTAAAATAATTGTTGCTGCCGCCTGTGACTAACTGTTCGCATGTTCGTTCCTAACTATCCTTTATGATGTTATCGGCAAAATGAAAGGAAACAATCTGCGTTTTTTTTTAAATTTTCTTCAGTATTATGGACAACACTATTCCACCAACGAGTCAAATTAATACAGAGTGCCCAGCAGTAGGGTACATCGGTACTGATTTCGAAAGGACCCAGACTTCCGACAACTATAGATGAAGTCACAGATGCTACCAATCTATTGCAGAGGATTTGTTATGAAAAATATGCCATATAACAGTAACAGAGGGGTTGTACCCATTGCTCAGTGCGTTAAAACAAGCTTAACATTGAAAAGCCGGAAATCTGCTACCAGTGTGTAGTGTATGTTTGCTGTTTTGGCCATAAAAGGTAGCCGAAGGGTCATGATCAGGGAGTAAAAAGGTAATTAACTGTTATTAAGCTCACTTTTTTATAGATTATATTTCACCACTCGGAAATTTGTGTTTTCTTACGGTATGATGTCAACTGGTACCTAATATGTTCACCCTTATGATGAAAAGTACCTGCAAATTTTCACCTTCATATTCGAATTATTTTTGGACAACTGTCTTACAGTCTGAGTGCTTCGTATGCCCTGGGAGAATAGATTCCTACATTATTCGTAGTTCCAGTATAACTTTCTCACGCAGTAAGTTCAAATTAGACACTAGTCTTTCTAAATAAGCCTTTTAAGCTAATATCCGTATTCCCTATTTCAGTTAATCGATGAAGACATGTACCACGTGCATCTGTTGTATACTGCCATTTTACTCCAATTCTAACTGTTATATCTTACTTTTGAATAATAAAATTGCTATATGCTGCAAATACAGACTTATTTGTTTTGATGGAGGTAGGGGGGCTCATGGGATTTTCACTAAAGAACTAAGCGAGTGCGTAAACCAGTGTAAGGTACCATACGGGGTGCATTTGAGTTACTAGTGTTCCATAAGTGCGGGTAGGGGCATTGCTTGCTTGTCATATGGCATTTGAATTAGAAGCTATAAGATAAGACGCAGGTACGGTTAGGATGTGTGACGCGTGTCCATCCATCAGCTGGTGTGACAACCCATGGTGGTTAGAATAAGCTATGAGAGGACCCGAGTCTGTAGGTCTCCCAAGGAAATGACGAGGATATGCACCAAATCACTTAACCTATACTCATTACAGTATAGACGTCTTAGAGGTGACCTAATGGCTTACAATAACCTTAACACTTCTGGACATCCCCTAAAACACCTAATTAAGCTTAGTTCCAACACTAACCTAAGGAGTAACACCCAGAAACTACAGACACAACATAGCAGGACGGACTGTAGGCACAACTTCTCCGCCTTAAGAGTTGTCAAATGCTGGGATTTTCTGCCGGCCGAGCTAGTCCAAGCGACTTCGCAGGAGTCCTTTAAGAGGCAACTGGATTTATTCTTAAGGACTAAGTATAGTATCATACTATGATTTACCGATTTCTTTTTCCTCTTTTATTGTTAACATACCTAGTTTCCTGCCTTGAGGTATTGGTGATCCCCTGCTACTAGACACGGAAGCCTGTTAAGCGAAAGCTTCTTCTATTCAGTCCACAACCATTTGAACACATGAACTAGGTGTTGAGAGGCTCGCTTATCACAAGTTTCTTGCAACGATTGTGTAGATAAAACAAAGTAGCATTAGATTCAAAAATTTATTCAAGAACTTTCATTAAGAATCGAATATCAAACAAAGGTTTAAACCAAGTTCCCGTTTAAAAGTTGTATTGGTAATGTTAAGCTGCAGTTTTTGTTGTTTTTTCCCAAACGAAAGAGTAAAAGAAGTCAAAAAATACTGGAAGTGGTTGTGAGACTAAAATGGACGTCCAGCATCCTTTTTATAATCTGTTGTTCGTTGGATCTCCCGTAAACAGTTCCATAAGGCCATAGTTCTAAGGGCGAAACAGATTTTAATGTCTGTGAAAACTCACTCCTGTTGCATTCTAAATGAAAAAATGGTGATGAATTTAGTCAGAAATGCGGAATATATAAACTACCAAATCACATGTTTTTTAGCAAAGAATTTATGCAGTTGTGATTTAACTTGAGTTCATGAATATTAGATAAGGTCAGCTACTATTACTTGCGCAAAGCATAACATGGGCTTAGTACCGTATTGCAATGCTTTTATTATTTTGCTCCCATTTAAGTATTCCCATACATCTGCGTCTAGTTTGACAGGAAGACATACAAGCAGAGTTAGTGTCTGATAAACTAAAAGTCCCAGTTGTCAAAAAGATTCTTAACATTTGTCCACAGCCAGCTGCATTTAGTTGAGACACAGAACACTTATGTTTTAAGACTGTATACTGCTGTTTTGAAGGCAACTAAAAGCTCAGACGCTTAGCTATCTTGCTACCGATGTTATTGCTGAGGAAATTTGTTTAATGACAGTGATCATGAAATATGGTCAGTGATAGATGTACAGTTTAGAAATAAACACCAAACATACTTATCGCTATCTTATAATGTATGATATCATACATGCTATATAGCAACAGCATCAAAGGCACGTTTTTTCCTATTTTTAATCAGGCTGATCTGAATCCGTATACACATTGGAAACAGGCAACTCTACTTACTAAACTGATCTGTTTTGTTACAGGCTTCAAGCACTATACTTAATTATATCATAATTCCTTCAACTAAACTGAATTATACCACAACCAAGAAAATCAAACTAAGCAAGTGTCATAGTTATTGTTTCACTTGCAAAGACATGTTGTTCAAAGTAGGTAAATGGACATAATTAAGCCGATAAAACCAAAACACGAAATATAGGCCAGTTGAACTTACCTAAGAAAAAAAGAAGGATACATATATACTGCTTTATAGCAGTATTCAGTATGAATTCATACTGAAGACAACAGGAAGTTGATCATAGAAACACAGTTTACAGTACAACAAACCTTTCTTCAGTAAAATCATGCAATGACAGTCTATCTGGAAACAATCAACTATGTGAATAAAATCACTATGACTTGAGATATCATTTCAGCGTGCAATGGACGTACAGTGTAACGCAGTCGGACGTGGCGAATAAAAATTAAAAACAGAGAAAAATTAACTACATAATCTAGTTATTTAATTAAAAATACATTATGAAATGACAAAATATGTGGTTACTTGAACGCACAAATGACAGTGTGCGATACATTAAGTTTACATTGGTTGCGTTGCGGATAAGATCACCCCTGAGGTTGCCAGTAATTTCAAGTTACTTGGCACTTCTTCAAAACGAACACTTCACGACGTCCGAGACAAATGAACAAAGCGTAATAGGAGGAAACAAGAACAGTTATGTCTTAATTAAAAGTGATAACGCCCCTACTGCTATATAGTTACAGTCAACTGTGTTAACTAACATAAGCGTAAGTGAAGCTTCAAGTATCTGCCTGTGCCATAGCATGTCATTCAGATATCCTTGGTACTTCTCTCATTCTTTACACTTCAGAATTCACAGGAAGACTACTTTGATTTTTGATAGCCGAACATCCATGGCTAAAGGAATTAATGTTTAGCTTGACGGATAGTTAGGCTAAGTGCAGCGGTAAGTAAATCCTCAAAATAGACAGTCCCGTCATTCTTCGACACTGTTGCTAACACCACCGGGTTTACTAGATGCGCTTGATTACATACCCACATCGGATCGCGAGTTGATATGCCGTGTTACGCTTCCCTTGAAACTAGTACCCAGCTTAGATCAAACGCTTGTTGACATATCGACAGTTTTACAAGTATATATTCGAACCCCTCCACTTCTGAAATTTGATTTTACCGGGTTGACACGTTGCGACTGTTAAGATTTTACAGATAAAAGTGTTATGAAACTCCAAATATCCGTGGCATCTTTGGCTTTGAATTGTAGCGTGGCGTCGAGTTGAGACTGACTATGAACACCGCTACCAAGTAAATCCGAAGGCGAAGGTTGAACGTGACCAAATTTATCTCGTTGGCGATCTCCTGGTATTGAGCGAATACCAAGATCTTGCCAAGGAATGGTATAAGTGGAAACAGGAGGAAGGTGTAGGTGCGAACAGCACCAAAAACCGCGGAACAATAATGGAAGGTAATGGAAGCACAAAAGGGCTATAATTAGCACAGTTAAACAAAAGCACATTAAAACAGTCACTGGTACAATTGGTTCAATAATAACTGTTTTCAATGAACCAATCGTGTTCTCGTGATAAAAGTGAGTCACTACAGAATCGTTCACCTTATATTATAACCTTCCTCAATATCTCGAAGCAATTAATTTGACTGTTATCAACCGGACAAATCTCTTTCCTTCAAAGTAGCTTTGTTGGAGGTTAACAAGACTTTGGGATTTCAGTAGGTATGAGGAAGGTTCCTTATATGGCTCGTTTGGCGATATCCTTGTGAAAGGATCAAATTAGGCACATTTTTGAATTTCTGTACCTACGAAAACCATTAAAAGGATAGTTTTATTATGTTTTTGTGTTATCCAGCCATACGAGACAGTAACCGGCAAACGAAACCATATTTTGTTTTCCCTCGCTACTCACTTTCAACAATTTCATTTACTCTAAAGGCGGTGGTTTGGAGTTTTCATGTTTGTGATGGGACGACTGGGGAGGATTTTGGATTTGTTTTTAATTTTGACCGTAAATTGTCAGCCATCTGTCAATTTAAGGGAGTATCCTAATACTGCGTCAGCAGCTAGCGGGCAGTTTATGCACCAAGATGCTAATGCAAATACACCCATTGAAAATCTTGACACTCATTCCACGTACTCGTCCTCAATAGTTTCAGATGGTAATCATATAAGTAATCCAACAAACGGAAAGCCTAGTCATCTCGATTCTCCACGTTTTCATGAAGCATCATATGGTCAAGATTCATCATCATTTGATCACAGTTCGAATGTTAATATTGATGAAACACGTGGTTCTAATCATGAGTCTCCCATAGTCAATCAAAAACATGACCAGTCAGGTTCTAGTCATGGTGTGTATACAAGTATGCATAAAAAAACAACTCACAATGCTCAACAGATACCAACAGTGTCTAATATTCCACTCCCAAACATGGCCCGTGGGCCACAACCGAGTCCAGGTGGTCAAGCACACGATTTCATATACAAGGATATCGGGTTGGACAACCGTTTGTCTCAAGGAAAAGTACCAGGTGCTAGAATTAATCAGCCACCACCAAACTATTTCGATGATGAACTTGGCTCTATGGTGTCTAACCATGGTCCTGAGTTGTCCGAACGCCGTCACTTTCATGATAGCAAGGACACTCTGTTTAAAGATCCTAGTGATAACACTGTATCTAGATCTCAGTGGGAAGCTGGAGATCAAAGTAGTTCTCATAATAGACCCAAAAAGTCACGGAGAGATACTTCATCGGAGTACCAATTAGATGAAATTTTTTCTTTACCATCACGTGATGATCCAATACAGAATCAGGCTGACTTTGTTTCTTTGGTCGTAATTGTACCTCCCGGGGTGAAGCACTGCTACTTCTATAGACCAATCACTAACTTTGATGTCGAATATCAAGTAATTACCAGTTTGAGTGTGTTACTTTACAGGTTCTTAAAGGAGGTCATTTAGATATCGGCATATTCATTCGGGATCCCGAAGGAGAACCAATCGCTATCCGACCACCGCTATCAGACTCTCAAGTTTCGTAAGTCCATCGTTCCAGTTTTTAGTTGCAAGCTAGTTCGTTAATCTTCTGTGGACATGTACTCACATAGAAACATATCTTATGAAAGTTTCCTGGAAATCATTCAAAGCGAGTCTTAGTTCTAGTATTCATACTAACGAGGCTCCATTCACTGGTAAACCTATTTTCATTCCTGTTGACTTTATATATATATATATATATATATATATATCGAGAAGCCATTATAAAATTGAATAGCGATAGTTCCTTATGATGCACCTGTGGCTAATTCAGCTAAAGAATATTAATGTATTAGTCAGTATCTTGACTTGTAATAAAACGTCTGTTACATTCAGTTTTATTTTCGGGAGTTATTTGAGCTTGTGCTATATACAAAGATCAGTATATGTCCACTAAGAATTTCAGGCATGACTCAACAGTCGGTGAGTAAAATTAGGTATTTGAGGTTTACCGTTTCGTTTTCGTATTACACATTCACTGAATGTATCTTTGTCTCCTGAATACCCTAAGCACTTCAACTTTGTTTTAGTAGAACCTCAATGAAGTTATTATTAAGACTTTCTGAACAAAGACAACTTATTTAAATAAGATTATCCTCAAACAAGTGAAGCGATCTGGTGAGCTCAACAATGTTTCAATATAGGTTTCCTTCGTCTTTTTAAGCAGCATAGATGAATGAAAGAATTTTACGAACCAGACCCATAGCTAGTCTCTATTCAATTTTTGTACTACGCAGCTTTGCTATTGAAGGCATTCATAAAAATGTTCGTTAGTCAGCACTATGTTGTCAATAAAAACGTTTTCAGTTAGAATATAATCCTCAAAAAGCAGAAGGAAGTAACTTCTGGAAGTATGTTTGTGACGGACCATTACATATGTGGAATTTTATTTTGAGGTCACGTAATATTTTGAATTATACATCTCTGTATTAATTAGCACGAAAGACGTCAGCCTGTTCATTCGTATAAATAGTTCCCAGTAATTTGATGTGGTTGGTACATTGCAACTGAGTTTGGAACCTTCCTGGTTGCTTTTTATCCTGTCTGGTTAGCTATCAGATGATTATAGAAGTCGAAGGCCTAGAAACTTGGTCAAACTGGTTCCTCTGATCACAAGAATATTTCCTTTTATCAACCGGGGATATCAGCTATAATAATGGCCTGTGTAGTAGACTACCGTCCAAATTTCAAACTATCTAAAATCTCAGTTAATCTAACAAAAAACTAAATAAATACATTATAGAGCTTTTGGATTTAACATACTGAAAAAGCTGGTCTCTCTAGCTTCAGGTTACTTATGAACTTTTAACCTCAATAAGTGTTGGATGCGCAATGTCGATTTCTTATGGGCTTTTAAATAACGCTTTTGAACTTAAGAGTAGTTTGATTATGTTATGACGTTTTTAGGCTGTGTCCCTCATTTTTCCAAATATATGGTGTAGTAGAGAGTCACATTTGTCTTCATTCTTAGTGATTATAATCAACTGTCCAGTGTTGTCGGTTGCAATTGCTATTTTTATATCTTTTGCTTTGAATACACTCACTGGCCACAGTTATTGGGAAGATTCAGCAATTTACATTATAGTCACTTTTGTTCGTTGACCTAATCTGCATAGTGAAGCAGTTTGGGTTAGCAATAAAACTAATTAGTAGTTGAAGATGATATCAAGGAGTTTGAAACCCCTCTTGTCTCCAAAATCATTTACTCTGTATTTTATCCTGGACGCTATAGTTCTCTATATTTGTCGTTCCTTGTGTTTCATTTCTCCCTCAAATGTTTCAATTTTTTCACGTATAATGGTTGTATCCACTAATTTTTTCCATTGACTTCCTGTTGTACTCCGGTTTATACACATCCATACAACGTTCTTCAGTGTTGGGAATTTTAGTGACAACCTGGAAATTTACATATTCGTATCCTACCTTATCTATGACTAACTGGTTGAGTTATGTAATCAATGTCATTGCCCCCAAATGCCCTGAAACGGACGAGAGTGGGGAGAGTCCGCTCTCCCTCTCGAAATGCTCTCACATGGCCACGCGTATATAGCCTCTACCAGGGAAGTCCTACTCACTGCCTTCTCGCAGATGGGGTGTTGTTCACGAAAATGAGAGGACGAAAAGTGAATGTTCGGCGCTTTAACCGGATTCCAAACCAATGGTGTATATGGGCTCCAGCATCCTGCGGGAACAAACGGCGTATGAACCAATTGTTGGTCACTAGCTTCCATGGGACTGCATCTCCTTACGATGCTCCACTGCCTTGTGGATCAGACCTTCAGGTCGAACGCTCGGGGAGTGGCTTCCTAAGAAAACCATCTGCTTCGGTTTGGGCACCCGGGCAGTATCACAGCCCTCACACATCGAATGAGATTTGTGTGGCGCATATGTATTTGGTGCCTTCTTGTACCAATATCTATGTATTAAAATAAAAATAAAAAATAAACATTGTCCGCGATATGATTTATTTATCCTTTAATATGACATAAAATCACGTTAATGAGATGTACTACCGAAAACGGCTACTGAAGACTTCGTCTCTAACATCGTTTCAAAAAGGCGTTTTTACTCGCCTACAACCTTACTCAGATTTATTGCTAAGGTGCATTGGGTAGATATCACTGCTGTGCATGTAATGTGCTCTCAATGTGATTTTTTTCTTTATTTTCAGAATATCTGTTCCGAAATACTTCCGACTTATGCCATACGCAATTTGTCTAGACAATAGGAAAGCTAGTTACGCGTATAAAAATGTCTATTTCTCTGTAGATGCTAATTTAAACTGGGATAATCCTAGTGAACTGGAACGACAAGCAATCGAAACGTTACGTAATAATCCGTTGGTGAATTCACAAGCTCAAGCGGCAAGTGCTGAACATGCGGAAAACATTAATAAGCTTATGGTTAGTTGCTTTTGTGAATTAGATAAATATTTTTCATTTTTTCCGTGCATTGATCTAATTCTAATATATATATATATATATATATATATATATATATATATATATATATATATATATATATATAACTCGTTTATTTCTTTTTTAAGGCACAATTGGATATATTATTTGGCCGTTTGCGACGCATCGAGCATATGCAACAACGTTCTAGTAATTTTGACTCTGCAGATAAATCATTGATGGAGGGGAACTTGGAGCGCATCATGACCGGTTCATTGTTTCAAGTTGTTCTTATGATTGCCGTAGCAACTGTTCAAGTTGGTCTTATTCGATCTTTATTCGACCAACAAAGTTATTTTTACAAAATCTGGTTTGGAAACAGATCTCGAAACCTAAATGCCCGTTGTTAATCTTGAATTGATTCAGTCAAACATTCTAGTCTGTATTAGCCCTTAATGTGGTTTCCTTAACATCGAAATTTATTTATGCATTTGTTTTGTTTTGTGAACCTGAAATATTTTTTTGATTTGTATGTATACAATATCTGTTTAAACCGGATTTTCCTGCTGTCAATTTGACGTTTACTTAATTTTAATAGCCTGTATTTTCTCTTTCATTTGCTATTTCGAATTACGATATCTCTGTAATAAAGATGGTGCTAATTTGTCTTCAGTTTTGTTTTCGCTACATGGTGTGCCCTATTATTTGTTGCTTAAATTTATCTACCTTAAATAATATTTTCCTTGTAGTAGATGGGAAGAGTGGTAAAAGTAAACGACTAGTCAATCTTGGTTATTGTCGGTTGTGTTTTGCAAAGAGGCACTTGATTTCATTTCTTAGTATATATGTGACAATCGTATCTACATTTGTTTCATCAGATTACCCTAAACTTTTGACGGATATTTTAGGTTAAACATACTCATTCAGTAGAGTAAGAAGCCCCTTAGCTCATGTTACTTGTCACTTGACATGTATTAATGTCTTTCTCAAGACTGACACCAACTTGTCAGTTCGAAGTACAGTGAGTTGATTTGTGCTGTTCTGCATTTCGATTCGCAGGTTTTATTGTTATTTCACCCTCTATGGTCCTCCTATGAATCCGCTGTTCATCTTGCTGTGCTAAGGAGGTATGGCAACCTGGACCGATGCACATATGTGCCTGGTCCTACGCTGTAGCTGACTGACTGACTCTATGGTCCTAATACTTGACATTAGTTTTATGCTCATTGGCACATTTGTTTAGATTGTATGGGTTTTTTGCTATTATTGTCTGATAGTTTAGTGATGAATATTGACAGCAATCGACTTCTGTTCCACTTTTTCACTGCAGGTCGGGTTTCACTGCTCGATATTTTGTAATAAATTTTCTCAATTGTGTGGTAAAAATGAATACCCAGATAGTTTTGTGGTTTGTTTGTTGCACGTGATTTAGATCAAAAATGAAGTCAGTACGTGTTTGATCATTAGATACAAATGGGGAGGCTATTTTCATTTTCACTTCAGTGGTCACTATAATATACGCCTTATAATTTTCCCATATAAAATATATATTACTTCCCAGGACCCTAGGAAATTTGGACATTTTTTTTCAAAATTATTAAGTGATTCTGTTTCATTTCTCGCTGTTACGGTCAATTAATTGATCGTAATGTATGGTCAGAAGCACCAAGGTGCCATTACTTTAGTGAGAACCTTAATTTTCATTGGCAACATGCATCATCAGTTTAGTGAGAGATCTGCATTTCGTTTTCTTGACAAATTTGTTAACTCTCGTGTACTTTGAATTCTTGCATGAAAATCATGTGAATAAATGATCATTGTTGGTAAATATTAGCACATTCTGTACATCTAAACTGTAAAAAGCTTTGCGTAAAACAAGCAGGCACACCAGTTGTTAATATTTTGGTTCATTTAGCACTAGGATATACAACATTTCAAAGTGATGTACTAGAGGCCATGCGATTTCCAGTTTTTAGAGGTAATATGTTTGGGTGCTAACAGATGTTTCATTATTCGTATCACAAACAAATTCATCTTAGAAGTTATTTAGCCAATAAATGAGTTAGTGTGTAATCTACCAAATAGTTTGTAGGGAAAAGTATACCTGGTACTAAATCCATTGTGATATTTGCTCTCCTGATTACCTTTCAAAAATGAATTATTATCCCTGCTTAGATGGGTCAAACTACAGAAGTTACGGGTAATGATGACGAACTGTGGAAAACAGCATCAGAAGCGGGAGAAAAGTTCAGTGCTTTGTACTATCGTGCTTTTGACAAGCCGAACAGGCCCGATTTACCTGGATTTTTTATGGATAATGTTGTTCTTCTGTGGAATGGGAATCGTGTGGAAGGTCAACAACTAGTGGTTGACTTCTTCTCTAAGCTTCCAGACAGTACATGCACCTTACACTCATTATCTTGTCAACCAGTGCATAGTAAGTTTCCATTTGATGAATTGGTAATTATTCCCAATTTTGTAATTTGTTGTATACGACTTTACCATTTTTGGTTAGTAAGATTTTAGATTTCGTTTTTTCAGCTGTTGGACGATTTGCTGACTTTTTAAACTCAAGCTTAACCATTAAGTAGTCACAAAACATAAACATAAAGAAAGTACAGGAGAATCAATAAGAGGAAATAAAAAATAATGAGGACAATAATCTGGGCTTCTAAAGCAAATCAAAGATAAGGAAGTAGTCAAAAGAAACGATTGTTTTTTGAAGGAAGAACGGTATGGAATATTACTAAATGTGACTAGAAAGTTAAATAAAAATATTTTTTTATCGATAAATGATACTTCATATCGATTTAGGAGCAGAATTTGGGATAGATTACAACGATCCACCATCCTTAAGATTGCAAGCCGTATCACGTAAATTCTTCATTCATGTTACATACACTTTGGTTACTGAAATAGGATCAAATAGCGAATGAATTCTAGTTTTCAAACTGGACGAGTACCCTCCGATGTTAAATAAACATATTACTAAATTTTCATCTATTGATTATCAGTTTAGTTTGTTTTTTATTTCTAAAGATTATGACTGCAACAACTTTTTAAAGAACCAGTAATGATATAGTTATAACTGAATAGATTATCATGCAAACTAATGTATATCTTGAATGTTTTATTCCTTAGTAAGTAGACTTAGTGTAAACTAACCAAGCTAAACTTTTTTCAGGTGGATGGTTCATGTATTGATATGATTGTTCTCTTGACTTTTATTTCAACTCTAAAATAAATATTTATTTACTTGATTTGGCGTATGAGTTTTTAATTCGTTACCAAAAGGCATACAATACTTCGCGTGTCGTGTCATGATCATATAAAGGGATGCAAATTGATGACCCTCATTTAACCCTCTTTCATAAAACCATATACTCGATGATATCTGGTCTTATTTTCTCTGGCAAATATCTGTTAATTGTTTGAACGTCACCGTTGTTAATAATTATTTTTTGTTTTTCATCTTTAGAAAGTTTAAGCGGTGACCGATTATTGGTTTTGGTTAATGTGTTTGGTACCATTAAATTTGAACAACATCCTACCCATATTTTCTCCGAAACATTTTTCTTAACACAGGAATCAAATTTATGGAGAGTACAGTCAGTTACATTTCGCTTTATTGACTAATCCCTATAGTTTTGATGTTGATGGAAACATATTTTTCGTATTGCTTTTTGATTTTGAAAGAGAATATTTGTATTACTGTCATATTTTTTCATAATTTTTATATGTAGTACTTCAGTTATCTGGGGATTTTGTAATAATATTTGGTTGTCGTTTGAAAATCATTTGTTGTAAGCTAATAATCGAAACATGTGTTTAAAAAGAAAATTTAAAATGGAAATTATCATTTGTTGTACTGTTTTTATCATTATTATGTTTGTATATTTTATCGGTATGTGTGGCGATGTAATATTGTTCGAAAATCAAGGTATATACAGAAATAATCACTCACAAACTGTAAATAAACTCCAAAAATACGTATATACGAAGATGAATGTAATTTCCTAAGACTTTCTAAACAATCTAAGTAGATCTTGTTTCAGATGCTTCGCTGCAGACTTGTCCTTAAATGTATACTGTAATACTGAATTTTTGATTATTCCATCAATGTACTTCGCACAAGCAAGCATATTTGATTCAGTTCACAAATGACCCATTAGATTGCCTAATTACTTGATTTTATTATTTATCAAATAAAGAAGTATGTGGTATTGTTTTATTTTCAATTTAAAGTTTATCAATGAGCCAATTTTTTCACAGTGTTCATCCATAATTGTTTATCAGTTACAGTTAAAACGTAGGACCAGGCAATATAAATGCATCAGTCCAAGTCCCCATAAACTCATTAGCATAAGATGAAAACCAAATTCATAGAAGCAGTTACTTCAGTGGTATTAAAAAAAACAAATTTTATATGAGGATAAGACACAGCAAGAAAGAAAGGTATGAAGTGCATCTAATCTCACGGTTTAAAGGAAGACAAAGAGTGTAGTTGATTCTAAGCCATGTCACCCAGATTCTCCAACCATTAGCTACGATAGTCGCGCGGACCCCAACCAAGTAGTCTGACCCTACCAACGTGGATAAGACTTTGTGAACTGATGCCAAGTTTTGTTTTGACCACACTTAACTTCCAGGCATCCTCAACACTAGTCAGCATTGCGCGTCGTGATAACCGGTGTTCAGGCATACATAACACGTGGCCCAACCTTCTCAGTCGATGAAGATTCACAACGTCATCAACTGACTTACCATCATTAAATAGAACAGAACAGACTACCGCGCAGTACACTCGTCCTTTAATTGATAGACGGATATCTCGCCATAGGTGACGTAAGTTGGCAAAGGCCGGACGAGCTTTTTGCATCTGTACTGAGATTTCGTCAGACACCAACCCATTAGGGCTGATCAGCTTCCAAGGCAAGTGAAGTTGATAACGCGTTCGATTACTTTACTCCCTATCCTTAGTTCAGGTGTTGACTCGGGCCAGTCCCGGAGCAACGACTCGCATTTACAGGGAAAGCGCATCCCAAACATTGTGGGATTGTTGCTGAGTGCTACCAAGACACTACATTTTATCAACGTCTTCACCAAACAGGACTATATCATTTACGTATTCTAATTCGATAAGCGGACCTCTTGATAGGAGATTAATTGCTGAAAATTCAGTCGATGATAAAGTTATTTCCATTAGTAGGTCTATGATGAAGCTAAAAAAATGAAGAAAAAGGACAGCCCTGACAGACACCATTTGAGGTTGCATAAACAGATGACAGTTCGCCATGAGCTCTCACTCGACTAGTGTTCGTGTAAAGAGCCTTCACAAGGTTTATGTGCATGTGAGGTACACCTTTCAATAACAGACAGTGCCCCGGAACCCCTCGGCCTACAGAGTCAAATACTGCTTTTAAGTCAAGAAAAACCATCATTGCCTGTGTTTTAGTCTGATGAATGGTGAATATATGGTCGATGCAGCCACGATCAGGTCTGAAGCTGGCCTGATTTTCTCGTGTGTGCAGTTCACGAGTCTTTATTAGGCGTTCGATATTTATTGAGGCTAGTATTTTAGATGCTACATTAGTCAACCTAATCCCTCTATGGTTATTACAGGATGATTTTGATCCTTTCTTATATATTTGGACAATCAGTGATTGTGACTGACCAGTTAGATGGGATTACATCCAACCCTCAGATTTTAGCTAAAATATTAGTCAAACTAATCGCTAAAATTGGACCACCATACTTAAAGAACTCTGTAGCTAATCCATCTGAACCAACTGCTCTTCCTCATTCCAGATTAGCTATAGACTTTTGAACCACAGCTAGGGTCGGGGGTTGTTTTTTTATTCAGATTGTTTGGACATTATGGTAGTTATATAGTGGCTGAAGGTCAGCCGAACTGCTCCTTAGTGTTTCAGCTATCGTTCTAAATGTCTGGGCTGTCTTTCTCCGAAATTCTTACACTTTGTTAGTTGTCCACTTTTCCATCTCTTTCGTTACTCACTGGTTAACCTAGATCTGATTTGTTTTCGCTCATCGTCGTGTTCAGAGCCTGGTGGGATGAGTTTACGAGAATCTATCAGTGCTCTACATGTCTCATAAATCCACCGGTTTTCCATAACCCTCTGATTTAAATCAGTAATAGATGTCGCTGCTGTCTCCATAGCTGTGTTAGCTCCGCACTTGTCGGGACCTTACAGCCGGAGACGGTTATCCGTGGGATAAAGTGAGGTGTGCATTGTTAGGGTCGGCCTTTACTAACTCAAGCTTTCTTTTGTGAAAATGCAGCATCGCCTTTATGCTGGTTGTCCGAAGGAAACACCTTACTGCTGTCACATCTCTGTACAGTCAGCGGTACGACTTTACCTTCGGACCTTGGGTTTGCTGCTTTCAGTCTTATCATTCTTCAATCGACCTATCTGGAAAGGTAGGACCTTGAGGAACAATTGTTTCAGCCAGTATAGCCGAATTTTTTCATCACGAATGGCAAAGCCGACCCCCACGTCAAGGTAGTAGCAACGGTCGGGATAGTCGTTCATACTTAGTGTTTAGCTTACTTCAAACTTCCACTTATATTGCATGCACCACTGATATACCCCGTTAGTTCTGCGTACCATGTTTATCCATTCGTTAGTTAGACAGTAATCAACCCCACTAAGTAGAGTGATACCGTAGTATTGAACAGTTGATTCCTCAAAGTACGTTATGTTTTACTTAGCCGTCAGACTATCAGAAATCATTATTTTGCCCGTAACTGCAAATTGTTATTTAGAAAAAAAAGTTTGGAACGTTCATAAGTTGAAGTAATCAGTATACTTCCAACACAGACATCCACCTATTCGTTTCAGAAAAGCGTGAGATTCTAAAAATCAAAGCATGTTTACGTTGTTATAAATATGACTAACACTCATTTGAGAGCCCAGATGAAATGTTCTACGGATAAGAATTGGTAAAAAAGATAACATTCAATTTTGAGGTTTTAGACAAACTAATAATTGTTGCATGATTGTTCACGTCTAATGTTTAGGGAAGCTAAATTCTAGGGATCAGTTAACTACGAGTATTATTCTATTCCAGTATACTTTAATAACAATTTTAAAATAAAGTATAAATTTAAACTCGAATCCAAAGAGGAACTTATTATTTTGAAAATGACAACAAAGAAATACATCTTACAACAGGGAAAAACAATTACATTTGTTAATACTTCTTTATTAAAAAAGATAAAATGCTTATTCTGTAGAAGAGATAATAGTATGGATGAAATAAAATCTGACCATAAACATATCGCACTTATAGTGACATAATATTTTGCTGGTTTGTACACAATAGTATATATGTATGGGCGTATAAGAGGTACGGTAAGCATAAAATAGGAACAAAAAATTGAGCCTACAGGATCTGTATACCATGTGTAGTAACAATAATAATAACGATAATATTGCAAGTCATATCGGTGACTTTGGTGCCAAATAAACAATGATAGTTAAAATATAGGTAAACTGTACTGTTTTCCGAAAACAAAAGTGACAACTATCTCCAGGAAATAAACTACCATAAAGGAAAATGCAATTGTCTTATTTTGAAGTATTATCTCTTGACAGACGTGTTCTTTTCTTATCTGTCAAAGGACTGGTAATTAATAAGCGTTTACGATTACCGGCATGATTGTTGCCACTCAAAGTGGTTGTTACAGAACTACTATTATTAGTATTATTAGGAGTAGTATTCACTAAATTGCTTGGTAAGTTGTTTTCGTCATTTGGACCAGACACTGAATTATTTTCTTTGGCTGCTAATTCAGCTTTAAGTTTGCGCTTTAGTGTCACTTTAAGAGGCTCCAAGCGCCTGGGTTCTAGTTTTTGGTTACTATCGCCATTAGAGTTGATAACTGTTGTGGATGTAGCGGTAGTGACAAGAGTAGAAGCGGTATTACCATCATTTAATAAGGTGATTTTTGAATCGCTGACATTAGGTGTCTTTGGAATTATATTTTCAACTTCTCTTTCTTCGTTGATGAAACAGTTTACTAGATTGCTCTCTCCACCATTTTGTTTAACTTCAGTAGACAATTTATCTGAATTTTTACTGACCGCAACTTTTTTGGTGGGAATATTTGAGTCAGAGTATAGTACAGGTCGGTAATCCGGTCCATATATTTTTAAACCGACATGATCTGAACATATCCATCGAACGCTGAATACTATGGAGGGATTGGTGACGTCATTCAGGCTAGATTTAGCTAACTTCCAACGATCAATATCTAAGCTATCAACTTGTATACAATTGTGGTTTGCATGTTCTTCACAATATGAATTCGGACATCTCCAACATAAGTGGTTTGACGGATGACCACATAAATCACAATAATGCCATGGACAATACCATATACCCAATGGTGGTACAGAAAGACCAAGACAATTTAAATGGTATGCTTTAGAGCATGTTGATTTATCGCACAGTATTAGTTCACCACCATCGCCACATCTATGTACGTAAAAGAAAAGAAAAACGGCCAATTATTATTACAAATACGGCCATAAGTTCAGTTAATACTTCTGTAAACAAAAAAATAAGTAGATAGTAGTTAAATTAGACGAAGAAGTAAGTTTTGCTCCCATTGG